AATTTTCGAAATCATTTTCGTGAAATAAAAAAAGACTTTAAGGTTATTTAGAATAATAGGATTTTCCACACACTAACTGTCACACACACAATCCAATACATTACGCACTTGCCAGCATTTCAATGTATACCTATGAAGTTATCCTGGCAAAACACACTGATCTCTTCCTACAAAACAACAACAACAACAACAACAGTATATGTGATCAATGAAAATACAATTCGAGATAACATACTTACAGTAGTGAGAAAAGTATGGTATGAAGAAATAATTTGCATGAAAAGATGGAGGGAGGGCGATGAATGATGAAAACAGAAAACAGAATGGGGGCGAGCGGGACCAGTTTGGATATGAAGTGGACAGAAGACATTTGCAGGGGTAATAACTCCTCCATCTCTCTGATGTCCATCACTGGACAGACAGCGGTGTCTGTGTTACACTACTATTTCTGCCAGGTGAACTCAGAGGAGAGCAGCAGCAGCAGCAGCAGCAGCAGCAGTTACTCCTTGTAACAGTGGCACTAAGTAACTTCCAATGGAAAGTAAATATTATTTCAAGTGACTTCCACGTTATCATCACTTCAAATATCTCGGCTATGAAATAAGTGGTAATTTAATTTTTTATGCGTAAAATTGCAGAACATTGGATGAAACTGATGCGTGACGCCAAGTATGAAAGTTTTGTTTAGTGATGACCGCACTTTATTATTTTCAACTCTTAAAATCTGGTGAAAGGAAAACTTTACGAAACGATCTCGACACAACAGCTAGGAGAACTGTCCGTTATGAAATTCGTCTACAACTTCGTCTGGGCCACTGACGAAAGAAAAAATAAAACTGTCATACAACTCACACTCACCGAATTTTCTTGCAATCCATTTATCCCATCAAAATTAGCAACAATGCATATCCAACAGCTCTCATTACCGTGCAGGATATTCTTCCTTCAGGATATTTGACATATCTATAGGAACCAACAACAATCAGTCTTCTCTCCCCCTTCCTCCGCTTTCATTAAAAATGCAAAAATTGGTTCCAAAAATTTTAGCATTCAGCAGAAGAAAAGAATAGCGCACAATAACTGAAATGAAAAGGAAGCCGAAGAGAGTTGAGAATTCACCTCTCCATTTTCGTTAAACGTTTCCTACCATAAATGACAATCAGTTTTTATGAGGAACAATGGACTAAGACAGTCTGTTCTAACCGGAATATTAAAACACGAAATAATTATGAAGCATATTTCAGAGATAGGAATTTTGAATTGTGAGAAGAGGAATAAACTGCAGTGCGAAATATTGAAAAGCCCTTTAAGCTTCTTCGTTATAACAGACTTCAGAAATGTCCAATAAGTCAACGGTGAACATATCTCAGGAATATGTTGAAGAATGAGAGAGAAGTTTGTAAATGACAAATTTCCCAGTGAACAATTAAAAAGAAGCAGGAAGAAAAAATAACGATAACTGGGTCGTCATAACCCTGACCTTTCTGAAGTACCTGTTAGGCACCATTTATAGCAGCGGCAATCGGACTGAAGATGACACTACACCAGTTGCTCGGAATGACACGAAAGTGTCTTTTCCAGTGTCATGGCAGTATGTCTCCTTTCTTCCCTCGAGGATCATTTCAAACATCCTCATCATACTTCAGTAACAAGAAATCATCTTCTAACATGATCAACTCCTCAAACAATTCAAATGACCAATTCCTGAACAAGCTTCCATTTCTCACAGTCTGCTTGCTTATCCAACCTCTTTCATCCCACAGTAACGAATTATACCTGGCAAAGCACTCGTCAATCTTTCCTATACTTCAGACTGTTAAAACAACAGCAACCAAATCCGGAGATTAAATTTATAAAAATTCACGAGAATAACAGTTCCGGAATGCTTAATTAATCACAAATTTTCCTCTGCTCAGTATCTTCAGCCACCGCAACGAACTATTCATAAGAGCATTTACTGACAAACATCAACATACTGATTGACTTTTCAAATATGATTTATAATATAGAAGTTGTAGCGAAACAAAGTGTAAGCGAATTTTGACCATTTACCTCATCTCCAACTACACTAATTATGATCAGATCATAATAAATATGAAAACGTAATTATTGATACTGTTTATTGCGTAATCAGCCATCAAAATCTGGAATCATAAATCTCCTCAACAAGATATGTTTGATCATTTCCACTCAGACTTGCTCTCCCCTATTCTCGTTTCAAATACTCCAATTACAATTGCTGTTGGATTAACTTCTTTATTACAGAATACATTATGTGGCCATGGTTGCGATTATCAACGGTGCAATATCAAAATAATTGTCAAAATTTAAATATTTCAAGACCTAATTCTTCCACATGACAAGTGAACAAGGAAAGTAGCATCATTTGCGAATACATTACAACAGATCATATTGAGAGTGTGCAATAAGAAATGTACGGAAGAAGAATTACAGCACTTCTCAAAACAGGCAAAAATGAGAGCGGCAACACACGGCGACACTGCTTGACCATCACCTTCTCCATGCAGGAGGTACCAACAGATATCGTCATATGCATCCGGAGAGGCAGGATCAAGCAAAATACTAACAGGCGGAGATTTATGACAACAAGAGAAGGGAAGAGGCCAACCTGAGATCACATAAGGTGACGACCCGCTCTTCATCCTTTACAACGATGCATCCCTTTCTTACCTCCCTCTCTTACAATAGAAAATTGCTGAATGATTGATTGGAAGCGTCGTTTATTCTCTTCATCGGTAATGCATCTTTTTCCCATTCATATCTATTTCAAAAACACACACTAACAACAGACGTAAAAAATGTAAAATAAAACTTTGAGATTAAACAATAATCCCAAAAGGAGTTGTTATAAAAATGTGAAAGTTTGTGCTCATGGACAGCAAAATTCTCATGCACAGGATTCCCATTCCATTCTACTCCGTTCAATGAGATCCTTCATCACATTGTCCATTTCAAACACCTAAATTACAATCGCATTAATGAAAATCACTAAATTCAAAATTAATACTCATAACTGCGTGGCCACTGATGACCAATGTATTGTCGAAGCATTTCTTCTCTAGTAAGAATGAGATATTTTTTCTGAGACAATAAAACATTTGGAGAGAGATTTTACTATCCATATATGCTGCATTCTAATGATGCACATTCTGGAGATGCTGACAGGCAAATGTTTTGTATAGAGATAATAAAATTTTCATACACTTTACCAACTTTGTATTAAAAATTTTGAGTAGAATGGAAGTGATGAAATGGCTGGAAATGCTCTATACAAGTTTGTCACTCGCTTTCTATCACTTTATGAGTAAATCTTAAATTTCACAACTTTTTGATGCAAATCCTAAACATCTTCGAATATAACCTGCAAACGCAATTTTTATGTTGCAGAAAAACTTCCAAACAAGCGTTAGCTGGAAAACACTTCAAATTAAGACACCTGATATTCTATATTAAGTCAAGTTTCTCTGAGGGCATCTTGAAAACTTATAACTTTCTTCCATCGGAAAATTTGGTAGTTTTTCAAGTTTAATCCTTTTCCCATCGTCCGAGATGCACTCAGCTCGTTTTTCGATCATTTAATAAACGCTGATTCCTTACGGAAGGTATGAAAATATGAAGCTTTACTATTGCATAATATTATCTCGGATTCCTCAAAAAAAAAGTGACAAATATTCTTGGACTAACGGAATCACAAGAAATTTTCATACGAAAGTGCTCTCAAAATATGGCATTCCTTCTGCAACCTCTATTTACATTTGCCAATCCAACTATCACACCTCGATAAATCGTCAAAAACTATATCAAACTTTATATACATTTTACTATAATATACTAATTATCTCTATACCTCCATATAACGGGAAACGATGTAAAAAGATTTTTAAAATTTTCCCTACTTATTAGTGAAAGGAAAAAAATCTGCGTTTTTTATCTTTACTATCAACGGCGAACTATTCAGCATTTGAGGACTCACGATTACACAACATCAGAATTTCCGGATCCTATAGCTGAATACAAGTCATTTGCTAAATGATAAAGAAATATGCAATCTCAATCGTCAACAACAAAGAAACGGAAAAACCTTTAGGAAATAAGAAATTTTCTCGTGCCATCGAGGTTGATTGATTACAGCGCATCAGATAAGAAAATAGTCAAATTCTAGGTATGCAGAGAAAAAGACTAGTCAGTGAGAGGATTAGAGTGGTCAGGAAGAATTAGAATAACATTAGCAAAATACCACAAATTCACTGTTCTCAATAATGAATCAAAATGATCTCCGTCTCTAGATTTCCTCGAATTTTGTTCAAAGAACTGATGACTTAAAATTTGCTTTGATTGCTTAAAATCAGCTAAGCATTAATTTAACTATTACCTGGTGTCATTATGCAGATCTCTGCAATTTATTGAACAATATCGTACACCACACCTTATACAGGTATATTTAGAGAAGAAACCGCAAGCTGCGCAAAATTGCCGTGGCGGTATACAACTTGGCGGTGCCCGCGCAGCATTGTATGCATCAAAACCGGAAATTTCCATGGACTTCGACAGCTTAAAAAACAAAACTAAATGTGAGCAAGATATGGAAACATCAAATCTCAACAATAATTCAATGTTGATACTTCAATTACAAAGCATTACGAAGTACGGCTTTTACTATATCCTTTTCTTAACAACAAAGAAATGAAACTTGCATAAATATAAACAAATGAGATAGTGATGATTCCCGCAGCAATTGACAGAAATCTTTTGGATCGTGACAATTTTAAAGAATTAAAAATGTTTAGTGACAATTTACATCCAGAGAAGATATTTATACCGTTTCTTCCTCCACTAAAGCCGAAAAATTTTTCCGGAATCTTTGCTTGAAATATTCCATTTTGAACTTTTTCTTTTTCTTTCCTGCAAGCAAACTTCAAATCTTTCTCATAAAAGTGAAATATTTTTCATTTATATCCAACCATGCCAGGCATGAACTGAAATGTTACAATTTTATTACGAATACAATGGCCATTTCTTGACGGTTTCTTCAACGTAATAAAGTGAAGAAACGGCCACCGAACTTGTAATTCAAATTCGTGATAGATATGAAATGTTGTATGTATCAATGATATCAAAATCATATAAAGTTACAATAAAAAATAACTTAGAGTTCTGGTAATAAAAAAGGGAATTACCTGACTCAACCTCTCCTTTACGAGTCGAAGATTGTCCCAATTGATCATCCTCGAATTTGGGAATATTTTTATGCCACTGCAGTTGTGAGTGGGGATCTTCATGAAAATTGTCCCGAAAAAATCCAATTATATCATACATTACATTTTAATTTACGAAATTAGATACTAATAACAGAGCAAACATTTTTTATTTTCGTGAATGAACAAAATAATTAAGTCAAGAAAGTTATGGAGAAAGCATAAAATATGACAAATATTTCTAAAATTAAAGTGATAGTTTTAACAATTAATTCCATTTATAAAGTGCAGCAATACGATCATCCCAAAACATCTGTATGGTTGAACATCTTAAGAATTCAAAATGTTATTCAGATAGCATTATTATAAAATAATTCCTCGTAAAAGAGCAAGAACTCGTTACAGAGTAACACGCTAATGGAACATACTAAATAGTTAGACAAAATAATCATGCATGATTAGAGAAGAATTACAGAGAAGTAAACTTTGAATAAGTAATTAGTTTCAACTTTTTTCAACTCTCTAGCCTCAGAACTAAGCTTCAAAAGTATCTTCGGATCAAAATTTATATAGAAAAATAATGTAACCATTTATTATTTAACCAGTTTTAAAACAAAATTGAAGGAAATAAACTACCAATATCGAAAAAAAACCTGTTCAAGGGCTTCAAGCTGTTTTCGCAAACGTCGTTTTCGTGTTACCTCATCTAAAACGCGTGTTGATTCCGCTGCATGCAAACGAACTAGAATTTTATTTCAGAAATTGCAAAATTTGATTTTGTAATTTTTAGCATGAATAACTTGAAAACCAGAGAAAAATTGAATTCAAACCAGAATGTCGCTGTGCCTGTGTTGTTCGGTTAATATTCATTAATGCTGTAAAACCGACCCATCAATTTCCATCAAAAAATAGCAAATTTGGAGTGAGAGGTGCAAGGAACCTTACATATACTGCAAATACATATGAAAAAGCCAAAACTGAAATAATCTTACCACAATTAAAATAATACTTTTCTATGATTGTAACTCATAGCGTTTCATAAAAGTTACTTGTTGGTCAGACTGTCGATAAATCAAATCACCTATACTAAATGATATATGTAGGAGTAATAGCACTGAAGCCACAAATTAATAAATTCCAGGTTAATAAATGAGAATTTATTTGTTAAACGAAATTGAAGTTTACATACATTAAATTGCGAAATATAAATTTAAGAAATATAAAAAATTCTAAATCCCTGTAACATCGGCTATCAACGGCTTGCCTTGGAGATATACGATCTTCAGTTACGATTTATCATAAATAATCCGCAACACTTTTTCTGAAAGTTTCTGTTATTTTCTGCCTATCAGACGACAATCCTTCTTGTCTAATAATTATTAACAATATAGGTTAATATGTCCAAAACTGAAAAAATTGACTGTATCTGCCGTGGCTCAGATTGACTCTCGTGAATTCAGAGAACAAAAAAAAAAATTCTGATGAAAGAAAAAAAATTCAGAGAACAGAACAAAAAAATAAACTACTTAGAAAAAACCAAAGTCAAAATCATTCTCAAAGCATTGATTTCAATACTGTTATATCAAGAACAAGTTGACACACTAAAATTTTCCTCGAGTTTTATTTATCTTTGTTTCTTTTGAAATCATAAGAATCCTGGAAATCATTTAGTGCTGATACTGATATGAAGTGACTCAGCTATGCAATCAAAAGAAAAACTGATTAAGAGTGAAGAGTCGATGTTAATTTGGAAGACAGAATTTTTATATGATACATCATGATATTTAATTTTTTTAATATAAAGTTGATAAATGATATAATCAGGATAAGACGGCTACGATGAAGACACTATTATCATCTATCCGTAATTCCTCGAATCGTTTCAAATATATCAAACAAGGTAGCGCAAATTTCCAGGAAATTTTTTCTTTTGATGTAAATCGAACGAGAAGCTCATTCAATGTAATATACCATCGTCCTCTCAGTTTTTCACACTCCTATAATTCAGCAGAGAAAGTAAATCTCAATCAACCTTTCAACTATGTCTAACCTGGGCCAGCTGAACGATGATCGTTTGAACTAGAGGTATTATTTCCAATGTCACTCAGACTTTAATTTGAATTAAACTTCAGTATTGAGGAGCTTACGAGATTTGTGCTCTTAATCAAAATTTATTGAGTATCAGTCCGGAGCCCAAGGAAATTTTAATGTACATGAAATTTCACCTGTCTTTTGGCATTCTTCAGTGCAAGAGGAGGCCGTTTTTGACATATATATTTATCCGAAAAAATTTCGTCCATTTTTTTTAACAACTGTAATGAGATTTAATTAGTCTTGAATTAAAGTAACGACAAGTAATAAAAGGGAATTCTACATCGGGATGCATGTATGTTTCGGAAAACAAAGCATGCACTTTATAGATTTTGTGACATAGATACCCGGCTTTTAAAAATGTTATGACACATTTTATCAAATATTTGACCTGATTTAGTTCAAGACGACCTATTCGACCACGCGTTTTCGATGGAATTAGAATGAATTCACCTGTTTCAACTGATCGTAAAGACTTCTGAAATATCAGTAGAAAAATAAAGGCCACGCTCTGCATAACCTAGATAACCTAAGACAAAAGAAACAAATATCAGACAAAAAATGCAAATGATTAATAGAATAAAGCTACTGAATGAGCAGCTTAAATGAGACGTAGGATTTAGAAGTCCTCATTTTGCAAGAGCACTGAATAAACCAAAAAACCTTTAACTGCGCAACAAGAAAACTGTATCTTCGCCGATTAGATTGCATTTGATTACCGTTCCATGTTATTGGTCCTAATTTTAAAGCGTCCTCCATATCATATCTAGCTGAAGTATTTTCTTTTGAGCTGCCTTCTTCGAGAACACCACCTAATTCCTGAAAGATAAAAAACATTCCAAAATCTCGAACCACACTTCTGTTAAAACTTTTTGAAATTTCCAAAAAATATTCTTCACCACATCACTATATGTTGGAGCCTCTTAACTAATTCTCCAAAATAATTGATCTGATGATGCTATTACCAGTCATTTCATATATTAACATGTCCTAATGTTTACTTAAACAAAGTAAAGGACGGAATATAAATTAAGAAGTCATAATGAACAAATTTAAATTCAATTTTCTTTCTTTCAATTTCGTGAAAGATCATGAAAAAAAAAACAATACTATTTATAAAGAGTTAGAAATCAATTCAGAAATAGTACCTTGAAATGTAGTAACTTCTGTTCCATTTCCATTTCTTCCAAACCTTTTAACTTTTCTTCTAGCAACTCAATGTCATGTAATAAATTAGCCAATTTCTTATTCTTTTCAATCAAACTACCAGTCACTGCAATTATAGCTTTTCCAAGTTGGGCTTCTCCGTCAAGTTATTCTTATTATAGATGAGAATAAAAATTCCAAGTATTAATCAAAGTATCATAAACGTAAAATACGTTAAATGCATTATTCTTCATCAAACAAAGTGCCGTCAAAAAACATATACATTAGCAAATTATCTAGATTTCAAGCTCAACATGATTGCAAATTGGGATGTTTGAAAATTAAATCAAAAACTAAAGGGACAAACATGTAAATTAAAGCATAAAAGACAAAAATCTGAAAATGGAATAAGCAAAATAAAAAAAACACACAAACATTAGACTGTGTGAAGTTTGAAAAACGAGATATGATCAGAAATTAAAATAGTTGAATTAAAAATCGGAATTACCAACTACCATAAAAAAGAAAAACATAAATTTATATTAAGAAAACTGCTGACAACAGATGCCTTTAACTAAAAGCCAAAAGTATCAGCAAATCATACCTCGGTTGGTGTCAGTATCAGAGGCCCCAAATTTCAGCATGGAATTATAATATCTCTCCACCTTACATTTACTCCGCTTCAGACATTCCTCTCGCACAACATCCACCATTGAGCGTAGCATCCGGAAAAACTGTTAATGAGAGGGATTTACGGATATAACCTGCGACGGTCAAACATCCGGAACCACCTCAAAATGCCAACCGGACGACGAAAACCCTCTCCCCGTCCCTGCCGGAAGATAGAGCAGATGCGGAATTCAAATACAATAAAAGTGCCGGTGGAAGATCGAGGCATGGAGAGGAAAAGATTGCACAGTTGAGGAGAAAGAAGGAATGAGAGATGAGAGAATAGTATGGATGAGAGAATGCATCTCGAAGAAGTTGTTAACTGTTGAGCGACTGTTTTCGGGCGGTCGTTCATCCGACGTTGGCCGGAATCCCTGTTCAGCATCGTGGAAGTGCGGGATACATTTCTGAAAGATAATTCAACGTCGTTGGTTCCATTTCTCGTCGTCAGATCATTTGGGCTCTTCAATACCTTCTCTCGTCATATCTAAAAAACGTTAACCATAAGAGTGGATGGACACGACGGATCCATATTCTGCTGTGCGAGCAATTTTATGCAAATTCCCCACTGACGAGAATGCCAAGGTATGTTCTTTTCAATGTTGTAAACAGCTTCCCAATATTATTTATATAAAGTTCTGCAGTAATTATCATAGTTTTTTTGATCTTTCAGTGAGAAAATGATCCTCCAGTCAAATATTTTATCCTCATTGTAGATTCCCTTTCAGAGATGAGGTGTTATAGGTACACACACTGCAACGCTCCAAAACGTATAGCAACTCCTCAATAGTTCAACAAATTGCACTTGTACCAGTCGAACTACCTTATTTCTCATAATAATACCAATATCTCTTTTGAGAGAACAAAAATTACCACTGACCTGTTTATGGTGCAGTTCCATTCGTCTCAGGATTTTCATTTCAATAATTATAGGATTCGATGGAGCAACGTGATATAAAAGCGCAACGAATGCATGTCAATATACTGAATATTGTTGAGCAACTGAATAGTTTAAAATCATCTTACAGTGGTATAATTTGATTAAAGGTCTTAGAAAAAGCAATGATTTGAAAAATTAACACTCTAAACATATTAACTTTTCCTGCAATCGTCTAATACATTTTATTGAAATGTTTAAAATAAATTAAATTGTATATAACATAATCATTTTGAAAAAGCAATTCATAAATAGCATGAATAATTTTTTAGGACAAATGAATGCAAATCGTGCCGAGAAGGAACATCTATTGCTTACACTACATGGAATGGAAACAGGTAGAACATTTGTCGAAGAAATACAACATGATAATATCAGCAACAATTGTTTTTATGAACCTGTTCTGCGATTTATTACATGCCTTTTGCTAAGAACGACTACGGTGACATAATATAATAGTTAGTCAGCACAGGGTTTACTGATCTCGATATGCAGCAACAAATTAACCATGGCTGTTCATAATTTTAATGAAAGAAATTTTACTGTGCAAACTTATAGAGGATAATAACGTTCATTTGTTGAGTGGATTGACTGTATCAGTTATGTTGTATTTAAAAGTTCTGTGGAGGGAGAAAGAAAAATATGTATGTACAAATACTGACTTCTAGGACATATTCTACTTTTGATCCAAATCTTAAAAAGGATTTTGTTCTATTTACTTGTTTAACATTTGTTAGAAATACAAAAAGCATTATAACGCATTTCAAATTGCGAGCATTGCAGATACAGAAAGAAGAAAGTTGGATTTGAAAGAGAAAGAAGTTGAGTTAGAGGATTTGCAGCAGCTCTCTGAAATGCGACGAAATATCGTCGGTGAGCAAAAAAAGCAATTTGAGTTATTGAAAATTGCTGAGGTAAAAATTCTATATCACATGTTTCTTTCGACTTGTCAGAGGACAGTTGTCGTATGATTTGTATGCAATCTGAAATACGAATCTGTTATGGATTTTATTAAGCTATATCAAGATAGGCAGTATCTTAATTTACATTTTTTTGTGCATTTGAAGCAAAGTATGCAAATTATCTGGAAGAAAAATGGAGTGGGAACAACTTTTGACTGAGATTTTCCATATTGTGCGTGAAACATTTTTATTTTTCTCGTCTCTATATTCATTTTAATTTTCTTTTTCCTTGATTAAGATTTCATCTTGTTATCATTTGTTTGTTTGTTAATGAATTTTATGCAAAAAACTGAACTATTCTTGCAGGAGACAAGCAAAGAAAACTGGGTTGGAGATACTACGGATGGCCACTAAAAATTCGGGAATGCATTACTTCTTAACTGACATCCTTTTAAGAATTGTGGCTTATTACTTCTTATCTCATGTAGAAAAGTAACGTTCTTTGCATTGAACAATTCATCTTAGATATTTTTCCCCACTATTTTCAATGCATTGTCTCTTTTGATATTCATACTTTCATCTCTATGTTAATACTTCTCTACTTCGATTGATGATTGATCATTCATTTTGTGATATATTTTTATGGCATAAAGATTTATTGATTTAGTAATCATTAAGATTTGTCGTTTTCCTCGATTTTCTGTATCTTTATCATTTCGGTGCCATTGTAAATATCTATTTATTTAATATCCGCTAGTTTTTGTTGCCCTTACAGTGATGAATGTTTCAGAGTTGATTAAGAAATCACTAAAAAATAGTTTTGAGCATCAGATGTCGATTATTCTACCTGTAATGCTTACGTTCAACCGCAAAATATTCTAAATCAGCAATTCATTAATATTTGTTTTGGAAGTTCACTGTATTTAATCTCTTGTTACAGGTGATTGTTACAGATTTCTCTTCTAATTTATATAAATTTGTGCATTTCCAAATTTATATGTACGTATTACTTGCAATTATTTCCAAAAAAAGTACTACATGTTAATTTTCGAATAGTTATATAATTTGGGAGATATTACCTATAATTCGGAACTTTAAATCGATACTAATTTGCTGCCTTAGAAACATGGTATCCGCATCCGGCTTGCGCTTTAATTTCAAAATCAGTGCAGGAGTAGTTTTAGGTCCCGTAAATATAATATTATTATGGTAGGAGGAGAAAACAAATTAACGATAAACGAAGCGACAAAAACCTGAAGTGGTGGCGAAAACTGTGACGGCTGATGTTTTATTCGTGGAAATTAGATACCTCATGACTTTGGTGTGGGATTCCGTTGTTATGCTACTGTCCCAGGTGAATCCATTCGATTTAGACACTGCATTGTGTGAAATGCATCCAGATTTCTCTACTTTTCTCACATTTCACAGCAGTGCGGAAATCTAATTGGAAAACTTCCGGTCGTTGCTATTTGTTTCAGATAACCTTCTTTTTGTTTGGATGGTTTTTCTTCATGAAACAGTTATTTCGCGATTATGAAGTACACAAAAGATTAGTACAGATATTATTTTCCATTACATTTGCATTGTCTTGCACAATGTTCGAACTGATTATTTTTGAAATTATTGGCTTTTTGGAACCGAGGTAAATTCTAAATACTTCGTTTTTGGAAATATCTTGAGGAAAAATCCAAACTCGTCTGTTATGTCGAGCCTTTTACAGTTGCGTATATCACGACTACTGAGAATTCCCATTTGTACTGAGATTAAGGGATACATTGTGACTAAAAGTCATCGTTAAAAAATGCATAATTGAGTAGGATATTTGTACTTAATTTTATCACGCTTTTACGAAAGTTTCAGTAGCCGTTTTTTACACTGGAAATTGGGGCTTTATTCAATACTTTTCGTATTAATTGTAGTTCTTCCGATTTATTTCTCTTTTTCGCTCTTCCGATCAATTACTTTCAGTAAGTTTCATTTTTCCATTTTATTTTTCTTCATTTCATCATCTTTAAATATTTCGATGAAATTTGCAAGTACTTTCTAATCTTCTTTTTTCAAATGAAAAGTAGGTAAATTCTGGACAGAGGTCCTCATAAGAGCACTGTGATGGAAGAAGTAAATAATCTTCGAATCGATGTTTAATATCTGCGCTGTTAGTTCTGAAAATTTGGATGAAAACAGTTTTGCAGAGGTCTACTTATGATTTGTAAATAATCCGTGAAATTATCCTCATAACAAGTATTTTCTTCCATGAACAACTTCATATCTCACATGTTGGCATCATTTCAAAAGTTTTAATTTTTTCAGTAAGAAGGAAATGGATATTTCCTCTCACCATAGTCTCATGGGTCATATTCATATATTTCTTTTGGAAAATAGGAGATCCATTCCCAATTTTGAGCGCTCGGCACGGTAAGAATAAATTTTTATTTTATTTTGAGGCTTCTTTTTTAGCACTGAAACAGTATTGTCCTTCATTTGACATTGATTTTCTTCGTCATTATAATCTCTTAGTTCAAGTTTATTGGAGAGTCAACTGAGATTCAATTTATCTTAGCTGGCAAAGTTCTGGAAAAACACGTTGACTTTATTAATACCAAAGTAGTTAGCATTTTGGGATATTAACAGCTTTCATATTCTTATTGCAGACAATTTGAATACGTAATCTGCTCCAATGATTATAGGTATATTTACAATTGAACAAGCAATTTCACGTGTAGGTGTAATTGGTGTAACAGTTATGGCTATGTTATCTGGATTTGGTGCCGTGAATGCTCCTTATTGCTATATGACTTTGTTCATGCGACCCGTTGGGCAGATACAAATAGCGCAGATGGAACGAAAACTTATGCATACTATGGAAATGATTGTTGCAAAGAAAAAACGATTGTGCGTTCTGGAAAAAGAAGTTGCATTAAGCGCTTTTACGCAAGGTATTTCTCAGCGGTCAGAAATGGGCCTTCCTTTTCAGTAATTCTTGTCGGTTTTTTCTCACAGGATTTATAACATTCCTATGTTAACGTTTGAGCAGTGTCAAAACATATTAGAAGTTTGTAAACATGCTGGAAATATACACATTTTAATAGACAAAGAGCATATGAATAACATAGGAATTAAAAGAACTAATATCATAAATACGAAGCATTACGAATTATGCTGCTCGAGATGACGAATTAGTCTGAATTATTTGCTCTTCGCGTTGAATTGATTTAAGAAATGCAGTTTACATTGTTTCTTGCTAACTTTTATGAAATAATGCAGCGTTTTAGGAAGCGACAATCAAGGAAATCTCTTGCAGAAACTTTGGGGTTCAGTATCATTTTCTTCAAGCTCATTAAAAGATCAGATAAGGTTCGAAGTTTTAGCAACTTTTGCATCTTAGTTTATTTTGCTCTGTCTTCGATTCGAAATTCTTGAATGAACAATTTTGCAGCATGCTTATCTCAGAAATATTACCTTTGGAAGAACTCAGTCGCTACTTGTTTCTAGAAATTGTTGAACTACGAAATATGAGAGTGCGTGCTTCTTTATCGTATCAAGATTTTGATGAAAAATATCGATATCCCTAATAGTCTACTTTTTCATTTCTTTTGTTGACTAAAGTAACGATAGGATATGTAAGAATTTTAAGAAAGTGGAATTGTACGAGAAATCTTGAGAATAAAGAATTTGAGAATAAGGACGGGATTTATGCTTTTATTTGTAAAGGTTGCTATCGTAAGATTGAACAAATTTAAAATTCGCAGCACAAATCCAGATTTTTCCCTGTAAACCTGAAAGCAAACTTTCAGAGTTTTATTATAAATCACACCTTTATATTTAGAAACGTATTTCCATTAGTGGTTCCACTTTCATTATTACATTTTTTTCAGGAACGTATGGAATATAGTAAAACTTGGCAAGGACAGTATTTCAATATAGTGGGACATTTTTTTTCCATTTATTGTATGTGGAAAATTTTTATTTGTACTGTAAATATTGTTTTCGATCGAGTTGGGAAAGTGGATCCAGTTACGAGAGGAATTGAGATTGCTGTTAATTATATAGGTTTTCAGCTTGATGTAAGTCTGTTCCAGTCATTCAATATTATTGACTGTGAGTTATGTAGGAATGTTGTGTATAACTTCTTGCTTTTGGAGATCGTTACCTATCAAAACGGTGGATACGGATTCTTATACCGCCTAGTGTTCTGGAAATTAATCTCTGATTAATCTTTAAGTCTAATTTTTAGTTGTCACAAGCTTAGGGATTAAAGTTTTTTTAAACTGTAGAGCACATTTGCAGATTCGGTTTTGGTCACAACACATATCATTCCTATTAGTGGGTGTTATTGCTGTAACTTCAATACGAGGCCTTTTAATAACCCTAACGAAATTCTTTTACATGATCTCTAGCAGCAAGTCATCAAATCTGATTGTCCTTATTCTTGCTCATATTATGGTAAGTGCTAAATTCATATTTTTCTCCAGAAAAGTTTCAGTCGCGGCGGAATAGAAAATAAAACAATTTAAGTTTCTCTCACTTGCATTGAAGTGATGGAAACTAACTCTTCCTTTCACCACATATATTTAAAAGATCAGATCTTTTATTAGGATGAACTTGAAAAAAATGTAATACTTTTACAAATCAGGATCGCCATTACTGAACAAGTGAGGAATATTGCCTTTGTTTCAACAGTGCTGTCATTCGAAAGTAGCGGCAGCACTACAATAGCAGTACCCGCCGAGCAAGATTAACCCCTTTCAGTTCAATTAACACGAAACTGCGGAATGAGGAAAGTCATCCGACCGCTTTCCGAATAGCATATAGTTTCTCATATTTTCAGGGCATGTACTTTGTGTCAAGTGTACTTTTAATGCGAATGAACATGCCTCATCAATACAGGTTTGTTATTAACACGCCTCTTCAGTGTCAGTGAATTTGCTGTATATGCACTTTTGTGCGTGTAAAGCAAAAATTCCATTACTGCTTAAGTGAAGAATCAATTTGATTTACTAATATAGATTCCATATTCAAATCAAGCCAATAGATAAAGTATATAACATATATAACACTAACTTTCAAAAAAATGAATAAGGGAGAGAGTGATGGAAATTTCTTTCAGATCCAGCATTACCGTCGTTCTGGGAGACTTGCAGTTCAATTTTTACCATCGATGGTTCGACGTCATGTTCCTCATTTCAGCTTTGATCAGTATTGCTTTTCTGTGGTTAGCTCATAAGCAAACACCAGTTTCAACTGATTTATAATGAATATTGCGACAGTGGTTTTGACAAATTTATAAGCGCACTTTTGGTCAGAAAAAGAAGCAATTGAAATTTATTCTATTTGAAAGCACGACAAGAATTGGAAATTTTCCGCCTTAACTTTGTTCTATTTTATTAGCAAATCAATTACTGGATTGAGAGTGAAAAAATTTTTTTTATCTTTTAAATTAATATATTGCCTCGGACATTTGTCGTAAGTTTTCTAAGCGTTCTTTATCAGCCCAACGGAGGAACTCCAAAACATTTTCATTATCTGTTGACTTCTTTTCCGTCAGACAGTTTTCATTTAATCGCTACAATAAAATATCATATGTATTAGTTACAATAAAATATTATATATATTAAAATATCATATATAACATCCTCATTTAAAGTATAATTGTCCCCCCAATGGCCAAGATCTACAATCTTGATACAATATTTCCAACAAGCTTTTAACCACACATTGTTTTCTCAGTCAAGAATGTCCTAGCAATTATTTCAACAAAAGTTTGATGTAGTTAATTAATCCACTAAATTATTTCTATTTCTATTAACTGCAAAATGATTCAACAAAAAGAAAACCTTTAGAGGTATCTGACTTTGCTGGTAAAAATATATTGCCTTACACAGATTCCAGTAATCAAAGTCTGGCCACAGCACTTCATCAAAATAGATGTGACATTTGGAACACTGAAATTATGCATTAATTTAGGCACTATTTACACTGCCAATATAATACTCATTTTCCATTAAATGTGTTCTGCAAATATGGTATTGGAGAGTTCATAGCAAAGAAAAACGAGTTCAGAAAAAATGGGTTTTTATAGTAAGTAATAAGAATAATCGCGAACTGTTTATTTTTTGTCCAGAAGTTATCTAAAAAATGAAAATCAGAGATAGTATTGAGATTCTTCGCTAATCATACCTGCCATAATAGGAAATCACTCAAACGTGTCTCTCCACTTGTCCTAATAAGCAAATCTGGATCATTCGAGAAGCGACTATCGAGACAGCGTGATATTAAACATTCATTTATATCAGTTGTTGCCAGCAATCCTAGAATACAAATATTTTTACAGAGAAGTTAGATGTGAATGCAACATCAATAACAAAGAATATGGTATTTGTTCATTTCTTTTCTAAGTGTTTGTTCATTTCTTTTCTAAGTGCCAATAAATGAAAGATAAAACAACAACTGGTATAATTTGAATTAAGCTATACAATAAGAACATACCTTTTTGGACGCCTTGAGCTATCGTAACAAAAGCTCTTTTTAGTTCATCCTGCGCTGTATAGGCAATACATACATTCACTGTGCCACTGAACATCGTGGAGTATGTTATAGTTTTTACGTTGTTTTAGAAAGAAACCACAAGCGGAACGACAGTTCGCTATTTTATGTGCAATTAATTAGTTTACCTCATAAATGAGCCACTAAATATTTTAAATTGACATTTTGAAGCTCCAACTTTTATTATTAGTTCAGAGGAATCGGTTACATATGCATAAAGATAGATGGAATATGTTACCTTCAAAAGAAGTAATAGAGAAATATACCATGCATTGCTCAATTCTCTGCTGAATTTTGAGTTGACTTATCTAACTTTTGCGTTAAGATTTCAAAACTTCATTTAACCTGAGCGAAAAAGTGAATAAATAGTCTACTTTACTTGAGTAGACTATTTTGTCCACTTTTCAAAAGCAGGATATAACAATACCTATTATGTTCCCTTGTTAACAATTCAATTCTTGCTATCTGCTGTTGAAGTTTTGTTGGAAGATGCTCTAAATTCCCAAAAAATTGAATACGGATGTCATTTTCAATAAGTTTATCCCTAAAATATAATCGCTGAAATTCAGTTTATTTAGAAAGCGGTGAAATGTGATAAAGAAAGCAACTACTGATTATGTGATTACTTTGGTAATGGACCAATTCAAATATGAATATTTTTGCTGCAATATTCTTCTCTCAAAATCAATTACAGAAATGATTGATTCTGCAAAATAGTATATATTAAAAAAAAACGAATGTTTTCAGTGACTTTTTATGACAACTACAAAGGAACACTAAACTTTCATCCAGAAGATGTGTAAGTTTGTGGTCGAATAGCGTCAACAAATCACCGATTTCGGTTGCGCTTCGCTTGAAATTTTCTAAACTAAGCGCATACACGGTCACTTCTTTCACACCAAATTCTCGGCACCACTGCATTACCTGCAATAAACAATCTTATCGTCAAAATTTCTCAAGTAAGATCTTGTTTCATTTTTCTAAAGTAGCTCAACAATGAGTTTCGAGATAATTAGCGGTATGGAGAAAAAAAATATGAAAATCCCTACTTTTGTTAACTTATCAAAACCCTTGCGATGACCTTCAGTAAAAGACGAATACCGTCGCCTGCGGGCATATCGTCGATTGCCGTCCATAATGAAAGCGATATGTTCCGGAATAGGACCAAGCGTAAGAAAATATTTCGCTAAAGCATGCCACCAAGTTTTTCTTTCCTCCAAATCAAACCACATAACAGAACCAATGCTAATCTTTTCTCACGAGCAAATATAAGCTAAAATTAGAAACTACAGTCTAATCACCAATTTTATCGAAACACAATAGTATAGAATATTCCTACTGGAGTGACAAACGGACCTTAGCAAAAACAGGAACCTGACACAATACAACTACAGATTTTCTCAAAAAAATTTACTTCCAAGTAGGTTCACATAGTCACCAACAAAATGATTCTATTCAACTATACAAACGAGCCCAGTTCCAAATTGCCACTCAATATCATCAAAATAACAACCCTCACATCCTACAATGCTGTGGAAATTGATTCCATCTAGTCAATTACAAATGCTTAATTCATCGGAATTAACGACCATTTAAAGCAATCGAAAGCCCAAAATTCACCCGAATAATTAAATTGATAATTCCCAAAGACAGCTAATAACGCTCTTGGACCACCTAAGTGACAAGGCTAATTGTTATCACGCATTAAAAAATAAAACATGGAAACATTAAGAAAACTTGAACATCCATCAAGTTCACAAATATACACACTGGTATATAACCTGAAAGGGAAAACTTTTCTTGCATCAACTACACTGTTGCACGAAATCATGATTGAGAATACTGAGAATTAAGTGTCAAAGGAATACGACAATACTTCTTCGCCTTCACCTTTGTACAACCATCTCAAAGTTAAACGACAGACGGAAAACTTTTATAGCAACAGATAAGCACAACAAAAAATATATAAGGAATTATTATCCGATAAAAACTGCTGCATATTTCAAAGAAGCTGCATATTTCCATGTTATATCAACTTCTTCAACAAAAAAAATTCTTCCTAAAAATCAGAACAGGAAATCAAAAGAGATACAAACTTTGCATGATTTATATGAACAAAATAGGAGAAACTAGCACTACTTTTCTACTTTATAGAATCTTACTTTAGTTTAACTGGAAACATTTGAAAGTAATCCGGAGTTACAAAGGCTGTAAATAAGTACCAAACATAAGAGGTACTGTATTACAGATTTTGCATAAGTAATTTCGTTGGCCTTCTTACCTTTTAATTCTAAATGCCTTTTAACACAGCATGGAACGAAATAACACAAGGAAAAACACAAAAAGTGCATGCTGATTGTCCAACAAACGTTCATACATGCATTTCATATATCAAGGCATCAAATCAAGTAAAAAAGTAATGTTGCTTGGCTAGTGCCCAAAAAAAAATGTAAAGATATCAATCCCTACAGATACAATGAAAATTAAAAAACAATGCCAATTTCACTTCTTCAATATTCTTGGACCATAAAGTAATACGTACGCACAATGCCAATCACCACCACCTGATAATTTCAAAATATCTTCCGTAGTGACTGGATGTACCTATAAAAAGTACAGGATTTACACAATAAATAACGAAAATTTATATCATCCATGGGATGATAAAGTCAACTAGTTCAACAAAAAATAATTCAGTAACTTACTTCATCATCGTCGCACATAGCCCAGTGATTTCCTTTCAAGCGAACCCACGCAACATAATGTCCACTACTGGATGAACGACCTTTGTGTGTTATAACTCCCTGAAATTGATAATTCAAACAGTAATATTACAAGATAGGTTTCAAATATGAGTATCTAGTGACTATTCCGCAAATACAGATCACATAAAGATATTAAACCCTTCATTATCAGAAATGTCCTAACTACCAATAGCCCTCACACAGATAAAATCTTAAGAAATATGTGATACCAATATAATCACCATCTTTCAAGAAGTTATCTTTGATTTTCTTAGACGAAATCTTCAGATAAACTGATGATGTATAAATTAACCTGCAGCTCATAATATCCACTGTTATTTGATCCAGGATCATCGCTAAAACTAAAAGGAACAGCTTTTTCTATTTTTCCACTCTCATCCGGACCGGGAGTTACATCAGAGGTTTTTGATGCTCTCAATATTTCGACTTTCTTGTCCTCCTCCTCCTGCAAGACGGAGCCATATAATTGCACGAAGAATGTCTTCAAAAACTATCCAGAGAGTATTTCGGAAACATTACAAAGTAAATATCTCAGACATTTAATAAAGTTGGAACAATCCTCGTCTGGAAAAATATCCCATATAAATCCAACATTACCAGGAAATAAATAGAATATGGAAACATTTTCTTAAAGAGATAATCTATAGAAAGGCTGTCACTTTGAAGGCATCACGTGCCGGTAATAGTTTCTGTTGTAATTCGAGCGTGCACATATCGTATAAATCAAGTATGAGAGGAAATTTAACATCCTTTAAAATCTTTGCATTGACCTGAAACAACTTTGATTGAAAGCAGTATACAAAAATATGATGTATCGAATTTAATACGAATACTGACTGCAAATCTTGAAATGATTGAAATTCTCCACGAGAAGCGTCAGGCTCTCCAATCACCGACCAAGCCAATCGCACAGAAATAAATTTTAAAGCTTGAACCTTACTTTATCCTTTTCCTTGTAGAAAAACCGAACCATCTGTATTGAGAGATATGCTGGAAGGCGATCAATCAAAGTCTTTTTTTCATATCTAGCATTACGACCAAGTACTGCTGAATTTTTTGTAATTTCCTCCGTCAATTTACTTTTAATGCCTAGTTGCACATACTTTACTTCCTGGCTAAGAAAACAACTTAGCTGAAATGGAATTTGAATTAAAATATTATGATAAAATATTTCAATTTGAAATTAACTTATCTTTTCCCTACAAAAAAGGAATACAAAAAAAATAAAAAATAGAATAACCTGCAAAAAACTTTCTTTTGTAACACTAACAGGTTCTGCATCGGATTCCAGATTCTTCATTTCAATCTTGAACCTACCTTCCATATATCTTGAAACGATGGATGCCAAGCGATCCTTTGAAGCTGATTCGTGATCTATAAGAAGAAAATAATGTATCAGTAAGTTAGCTAATATTTTATTGAGAAATTCTGGCTAGAAAAAACACACTTTAACTTTCGCCAGTAGTAACAACTAGTAATTAAAAGATAATGCATTTATGGCTTCGTTGTTAAAAATTTTCTGTAAATATTCCTACAAATTTATTCCTCTTACTCAGTCTAAGACTTATTATTAGTTCTGAGAGATAAAAACTTCAACACCTGCAACTTTTAATTGCGTCTGAAGAGCTCGAAGTAGTTCAGTCCAGCACTCATTTGCATCTTGTTGCATCCATCCGTGCTCGTCTCGTGCCGCAAATTGTGGAAAGACATTATGTACTACCTTTAATAGATAATCGTGATTAAAAGTTGCTGTTAAAAATTCCATTCAATGATAATATCTTACAATTCATTATTTATAGTGGCAAACAGTACGTTAAGTCGCTTAAGCAATTTACAATGGTGTTTTCTAGCAATTCCAAAATTTTTTACGACATATCATACCATAATTTGCGACCACTGTATGTTGTATGCTGAATAACTGGCTTTAAAATTGAAAATATTTTGTCTACTGCAGAAAAAAAAGCTTACCTCTACAATTTGTACAATAACTTAATAAACAAACCTGTATCATAATAAGTGGAATGACACCACCGTAATTTTTCGACTTCTGATTATCCATCATCCGATACAAATCACGAACGGCAGCTGTAAGAGCTTTTGAGCCACCGTCACTATCAACGGAAGCACTTTGAACTGATTCAGAATATTTGTTTAGCGCATCCCTCAATTCTGGTATTACCTAAAGTGACAATATATACAATTTTGATACGCAATTTTAGTTTTAAATAAGAGACGTGCGTTACCTTGAAACACTGTAAAGTCGCATTCAGGTAGCATGTGTTGCCTAGATTCTTCAAACCTGCTGGCAGAACGATTGAATTTGATGTCTAGAAGCATAATCAATCATTGATAACAGCTTCAATTATTTTGTTTTCTTAAATAATTAAGTCAAAGCCATTAACTGCTGGGTTGAGTTCTTACAGCAAACCATCGTTAGCAATAAAAAAAACGGCGAAAAACAATACCTCAGCTTCCATACACTCAGAGTTTTCTTCTGGACGATTAATTAGTGGAGGTGGTGGGACCACGCCACCACTACCAATCATCATCATTACCATACCATCTTTTAACTCACAACCATTCCAACTATTATCATCAAGAATTCTACCCTGTAAGCATTTACAAAGATGAATAAATAATGACAAATGTTATATTTCCTGAAAAATGAATTTCCGATGCCTCAAATATAAATTTAAACATAAAATGTTATTCAATGTATTCTTTCATGTTTCCACATGTCTTTGTACCATTTAAAGACTGGGAAAGTTTTTTCGTTGGACAAAGAGAGGTAAAGAAACATTTAGCAATAGAAAAATTAATAAAAAAAATGAAATCTTTAAACATAAAAATATAAGACTGCCGATAAACAAAGATAACCATTACAGATTGAAGTCCAGCATTAAGCTTTACTAAAAGAAAGAATAACGTGCAGATGCCTAACAATATAATGCTAGATATTCAACGTATAATGTTTAACAAATTACAAATTTAATACAATGTGTTTATATTACGTACGCAAACAACATACCTTATAAAGGATTGAATACAACACAAAAGGAATGACAACAAAATCATTTAATAATGCACGAAGATAATAAATAAGTGAAGCAACTCTTGCAAACAATCCTCAACTATTCTTAATTAATAAGCTGATTGGAAAAACATTAACTTATAACGAACAGGAGCAAAAATTGACTTACTTTAACGAGTACTTTTTGTCGATCCGGGTTCACACCTGTTAAAGAAAATAGTTGTGATTTCAGTTGAAGCGGTGGATCTTCCATATTTGCATCCACTTCGAATCGTTCCTTTCCCCACTTAACGAATACTCGTACCATTGCTTTATCTTGAAAAATAGGATTGAAAAAAAATATAAAAATGAAAAAATAAATAAATAAGAAAAGATGTGAAGACATTCCTAACTAATAATCACTAACGAGCACACTAAAATGTGCAATTGCCCAAAAACTGTCGGAAAAGGAAGAAGTGATTATTACCAGTGATTATTATTATCAGGAGTCATCCTAGTAACTCTTGGTAATAATCACTTCCCCACTACTACTTACAAATACTTTCTGAGAAAACAGTCAAAGCAAATGAAAACTGATTGCGACAAAGGTTATTATTAGCTATCAGTAATGTACTGTTAATTTAACTCTTTCGTGAATTATCACCGAGGATAAAATGTAGACTTTGAAGAATTTTTGAAATCACAAAATTTATGAGAATGGTGGTGAAGAAGAGTGTGAAATAACGTATTTTGATTTCTTCATCCTGTTCCGGGAAATGTAGACAAAGAGGAGGAGAGAATGCAAGCAACCGGCGAAATCTCCACAGCGCGTCAAATACAAAAGCACCTACTGAAAGTGGGTCACTTTGCAAAAGAGCCGGGCACGAATAGCTAAGGAAAGATAGGTGTTTTTTTAGTGCAAGAGGTCGAGGGGAGAACCGTTCAGGTGGGGCGGTGAGGCCAGGTGTGCTGCACGGTCGATCATTCCTGTTTTCCTGGGGTAGCAGTAGGTTGACGTTCTTCAGAGATTGGAAATTACGAAATTAAATGCGCATGGATGAAAAAGAATAAAGGCACGCAAAATGTTGGGATAAATAATGAGATGCTGAGTGTTGAATTGATGATGATAGGAGATCGGACAACGAAGAGCAATCTCTTTTGGCTTCATGTAAATGTATTAGAATATCCGATAAGGTTTATGCTTTCTCTTGAAACAGCGGTTTCTCGGATTAGCGTTCAATAAATATGCAGATTTCCTGGTCAAATTCAACCACTGGAAAGCAGTGTATCCGAAGAGTACGCATTGTTTATTATGGCAAGAAACGAAAAGGTTGGTAAAGCAATAGCCACCGCTTATGTGAAAGATGAACGAGATATTCCAGATTATGAATTTCCGGACAGGTAATGTCGCATACCAATGCCAACTTCGCCAAGCCATTTTCATATGTATTTCAGAAGTGATTTATATGTAGGAATCAGATTCTCAAAGACCGGAGGAGTGGTAATTTATTGAAATGAAATATTTAGTGTCTACCTTGTCCAGATAATTTTGAACCAACACTCGCTGGAATTATGACTCCAAAACGTATGGCATCTGTATGCTATAAAATTAACAGTCCAGTTTTCAAATGTGCTTTGCACTCAACAATTTGTACATTGAGAGCAATGTGAATTTAGTGGCCATGTAAAACTAAACTTGACAACATCAGACATAGCAGTTCTTGAAGGAGCAGTTTCTGAACCGGATATGCGAAGCAAATCATCTACGTCGTTAGCAATGATGTAAGCTGAGACATTTTAAATTCAAGATTATTACTTCAAGCATTCGGTAAACCAACCGTGGTATATCTGACCATATATATTTATTTTTCGATATTTGAAACTCATATCCACATCAGGAACACACATGATGAGGCTTCTTCCGTTTCCTTCAAGGAACACATCTCGCCATCCATTTTAACATAATTTAGATCTTTTGCTGCCGATATTTCCTTTTTTGTGGAATATCTAGCATTCTTTATAAATAATCACGTCTGCAAGTTTCTTATATATCTATTAAAATATGAGCACTCGAAATTCAAACCAAACCAGATCTCTTTCTGAACAAAGAGGAGGGAGCTGATTTAATTTTTCAGGAAAAGGCAAATTGTGCAAACTCGATTACTTGCAACAGTGGCAGTACTGCTTAGTTTAGGATTCGTTTGGTTAGCTTTCCTTTTCTTCTTAAATTCCCTTACAAACATTATATATAGTAGTATCCACTGCTTGCTCCATTTATTCTCACGAAATTAGATTTAAATAGAAATATTTAGAATATTTAAACCAGCCCCCACCTATCTAAATTTGGAATTGGAAGTGGGATACCACTCTCCTCCCAGTTCTCATTTAAGCAGCAATTCCTTAAATGCAGTCTGCTACTTAATTGTTTCGTGTGGCATGCGGTGCGAAATGCACAAACGGAGCAGGTTCTCTTGGGCATCTTAGCGTTTATTATTGGAATGTCAACTCGAGATTGGTACCGGTTACATGGCGAGAAATTGACAAGAGCTTTGAAAGCGCTTCTTAACGTCTCCACCATGGTCAATTCCCTTGAGTAAGAGCTTTTTTTTTGTTTCTTCCCAAGTTTTTGAACCTAAAAATGCTTCTTGGATAAGCAAAGAAATGGAGAGATTGACAGGCAACTATTTCATGTTTCTTCTTAAAAGTTCACAAAAGTTGGCTTTTGCATTTTCCTTTCCAAAAGTAATTAGCATCTAATCAAGCACCTAATCATGAATCCGACACACTAATTTGACAGCTGAAATTTTGTAATTTTATTCTCGAGATCAGTCCACATCAAATCCGGCGTGAGCATTCCTGATCTTCATCTACAAGTATAATTATACTGCTTACGCACTAAACTTTCCAGTACATCCACATTCGATTTCTTTGGTATCTATAAGTATCTCAGACTCAACGGGAATTATATTTTTTTTTCGAACGATCCAAAAATTAACGAAGGAATACCACGAACGCCGGAAACCAGGTAAAACAATGTCCATACTGATGGAAGGTCAATAGTCATGGATATGCATAACAAATCCAGTAGCCAATCAAATTTTTCAATTCACCTAGACTCTACCGAAGCAATCCATCCAAATTACTTTTAATCCAATCAGATCAGACAGTATACTTTGATGATATTTTGTTTTACTCCACTTTGCTTCCTCTTCCCATAGAATTAATATATCCCATGTACTACAGTTACTAAACATTCTACTAAATTTACCAAATAATCCGGATTAGATCAAGAAATGGTTCGATTCCAATCAATGTTACTGATGGAAAAAAGACTGAGAAATCTATTTTCATATCCTCTGATATGTCTGCTTTGTTATAGCCCACCGTTAAGTCCTTCGAGCGAAAAAAAAGACGAAACAAGAAGTTTGACAATAACGAAATCCTGATCAGCTCGTTACGAATATGCCAATGTTAACAGCTTCTTGTATCTTTTATTTCGAAAAAAAAATGAAGGCAGAGATCTCACAGTTGGTTATAACAAACCAAACTTTAAAAGATCGTGCTCCTGTTAAAATGATAAAACAGGATAACATAATCTGAGCACATTTTTGAAACTTTAAGATGTGTATATCTTAGACCAAATTTAGAATTCAGGACATTGTTGTCCAAATATAGCGAAAACATCCGAGAAAAGTCCTTATAGATTATTTTTGAAAAAAATAAAAGATACGTAGCAATATGGGAGACATCAGTCCACATGTTCTTGGAGATCTTTTTATCTAACTACAACATTAAAACTTGAAAAAAAGTAAAAAAAAAAATGAACTAAGCATATACATATAATCGACAATCATTATAACTAATATAAACTTTAAGTCATAAAATGCAGAATCTTTATTGCCGTACAGAGATCAATTCTTGTATACGCAAAAAAAAAGAAAGAATCCTACGTTAATCAATTCAACCAAGAAAATCATTAACATTAATGGCATTACAAAAATAAGCATTCGGACGGTTCATCAAACGGGTATAGATGAGAAACTCTAATTTTAGCCGAAAATAGAGCTCTTAAATACCATCTGTACCTTTTGAAATTTCATTTCATTAAATTTTTATGGTAGTAGAAAAAGAATATAGAAGAAACCATCTTCATTCCTTCTTTACTTTCCTCCATTCAATGATTAACCCAAAATCCCGATGGTATATGAAAAGAAATAACTTAGTTTACATCTATGAAGTCGGGCTTTGTCGCATTTCTATAAGTTTGGACGGTTTCCTTGACACGTTCAACCGCATCACTTAACATGGTTATAATATCCGGATCTTCCTAAAAACCCATTTTCGTCATATTAAAGCAATACATGGCTAACCAATTTGCAATGATTCTAAATACTTCGATCTTCACTGTCAGTAAAACAAAAACTCCCATTACCAAAAAAAGGGATAATTAAAAAAATAAATGCTGGATGGACATTCGCCCACCCAGCATCTTTTTTGGCAACTCGAGCTATATCTTCTAACATGATTCTTTTGTAAACTGTTCAGAAAATAATTCTTACTTTTAAGAACTGATCCAAATATGCCTTCTTCTTGAGAAGCGTTTCGCACTGATTCAAACTTTCTTGAAAAAGACTTGCTGCATTCGTATGATTACAAAGCATCAATCCGGAAACTCTATTTGTCATTGGCAAATACGGTGAACGACGGCACTGAGTTATATTTAATGAACCTGAACCCCACGGTGCAAATCTGAAATATAACATGCTTTTTTTGGAATTTCTTAAAAGAATGATACTGAATAAAATTAATCAGGACATCAGAAAATGCTATTATTTAGTGTGATGCCAGTAATATATGAATCTGTGAAATAATGCTCATTTATTCAAAAATATAATCCACACTAACTGCAGACTGAACACGCAGAGAAATAATAACTGAAACAGTGAAGCAAAAGACTTAAATGAGCTTACTTTATATCACGTCTTTCTTTAATCTTTGCCAGTGATGAATAAATTTCAGTTGGATCAATTCTACCTTGTAGAATGGCCAAGGCGGATAACATACAATGATCAATTCCTTTTTCCATTACAGCGCTGCTCATCATACTTTTTGGTTGCAGCAAACGTCGAAGTACATCACCAACTGAAGTTTTCATCACCGTAGTATCACCTTCACGAAGTGGTGTGAAACCTGAACAAAAATTCAAAATATTCAATGTTTCGAAGTTTCTCAAACGCCATTCCCTATTTTCTTCAGTATAGTCACGGGTAACAATTGACCGGTTGTCTAAAATTAAAACAGCTTCCTAAAATTCAAAGAATGAACAATGAAATTAAGTCACTTAAAGAATGGCACAAAGCAGTGCGAATAAATAAAAAATGGAATGGATTCGAAATCAAAAAAAGTTCTAATGAAACATCAAAAGTAACCGCTAAAATTGCAATGCGAGTTATGAAATATGCAACATAAAAACAACCTGTCTGGATAAAACGCATTGGTGGATATGCTGCTAATGGAGCAATCAGATTGATCAGTCGAGTGTTCATGGCACCAGGAAACCGCAATGTTGCTGTTGATGCACACATAATTCGCGAAACCTATATAAATTCAAGTTTTAGAAAATTGCTCATGTGTTATTGTCGTATTAGTTAGTAGGGATCGTGTTCCAAGCAAAATATTGTCGGTAATGATATCTTACAGCTGATAAGTCACCAAAATAAGCCTATGCAGTTCCACATTTTCTATTGAATTACCATGGAATTTATATGAGAAAATGATGAATTACTATCCGGCGTATTTTCACTTGCAATCCGATGAAGAGCTGTATTATCCAGAACAACTACACAATTTGGATGTTCAATTAATCGAGCCAATGTCAAAATAGAATTATATGGTTGTACCACCACATCACTCGCTTCGCCCTTCCTCATAACCGGGAAAACCGAGTAGGTCTGAACTAATTTCTTTGGAAATCTGCAAAGTTCACATGAAGTAGTCCCGAAACTGAACTCTGCCATTTTTCATTAAACGTTTTTACATCATTAACTATAGCACTGATATGAATTAGAAGGTACCTGACCTGTCGCTTATTTTTTCCAACGCATGAGACCCCATTCCTGAACCAGTACCGCCAGCTATGGCATGACATAACATGAATCCTTCCAGATAATCGCTGTTTTCAGCTTCCCGTTCAAGAATATCAAACAACGCTTCTTGTGCTTCCCTTATAATTTATACAATTAAAACTTTGATGTCGTCTCTTCCCAATCAGCAACAAGGATAAATGAACATGTTCCTACAGACTCATTCTGATATTTTGACGAACAGTTCATGGTAATTCTCCTTTTGCATAAGTAACTTGATTTGTGTTGCATCTTTTATTACAGTTATAAAATAACTGCCTATGATACTACTTAAAAGAAACAAATTTTCACCATTGAATTTCTTGACTGCATCTCAGGAGGAGAAATAAATTGGAAAAAACATATTTAAATTTAAGATAAATGGTATATTCCATTAACTTGAGCAAGTCCAAAAAGCACTGCTATCTCCACAAAAAGATGAACCACAGAAAGTATAATTACACCTACACTCTATCCTTTTCAATATTTGCCTCCATACTTCCGGGAAGAAATCTTACCTTCCCTGCTTGTATCCACTAGCGAAATTATTTCCTGCACCACCGCCACTTTTAGACATGAAGATGTTCTCCATGTTGTACAATGTACGATAATCAGAAGTGATAATACCATTGATAACACGCGGTTCCAAGTCCACCAAAACAGCACGTGGAACATAACGCTCATCATCCGCCTATTAATATAAGCTAAATTTCAATGTGCTGAGCAATTAGTGACCATCAAAAAACAAGATCTGTGCAACTATTTCTAGCAGGAATTAACATACTATTTGCTCAAAAAGAAAAAGTATAAGGAAACCTACAATAACAAAAAGAATTGATTGCAGTATAGATTTTTTTTAGTATCCAGTCATGGAGATCATGGACATACCTGGTAAAAAAAAACGCGCTTCAAATCCTTCGCACCAACGTCATTCTGTATAGGCACACCGTTTGATGCAATACCGTGTTCGGCACATAGCGCACGCCAAAATGCATCACCTATTTGATTTCCACATTGACCGAATTGTATGGCAATTATTTCACTCGGCATACTCGCCAGCAGTATAAAAAATTTTATTTAATGCCTATCGAATTAACGCTGATCATTTAAGGCATCAATCTCTATGTGCTTTCCCAACTTTTAACATTTTGTTTCAGACCGGTAAAATTCTAGATACCTTGAACTCCTTGCCCTTTTATCGATCAAAAACGTCATCTAGACATCTTGAATATGAAATATGAAATACTTGAGAAAGCAACAAAGACGAAAAACAAAGGTGAAATACACATATTTTATTTAACAACTAAAAATTGGAAAATTATTGTTCCGAAAACTAATCGATATCTTATGATCGAGGAAATTTGCATTTAGCATCCTACGTACAATCATTCAAATCATGAAACATTAGTAGGCAAAAAAGAACAACAGCAAACATTAGGAAAGTGTTTGACTAAAACTTAATTAAATAAAATCTAGAAATAACAAGTCACAATTTTTCGAATAACACTCTTTTCACGCAAACAATTAAGAGATCATGCAGCAAGACAAAATTGGCACACATGGAGCACCAATTTTTGTTTACAAAGGATTGGAATTTCATTTCTACAAAGTCGAATCAATCTCAGTCAGCAATTATTCGCTGTATGTAATGCATAAGAACTATTGAATCTTTGTCTTATTGAACCGAAAACACATTCTAATTCTTCAAAACCTTTCATCAGCACATCTGCTGCTCGCACACCACGTTTTGTTTGCAAACGAATTAGGATTTTATCCTCCAAAGGATGGGGTATATTGTAACCACAAAACTCGACATCACGCCTAGAAATATTTTCTTAGTAATCGAGGTACTTGTAGTGGAAAATCGACCTCCATTTTTCTCGATATATTAATTCGAGATTTTCCGCCAAATCTTGCTTACTACCATCTAAAAAGCTGTTTTTATATATCCTTTCACCAGCTTTTCATGCAGTGAGTTGAACTATCCGTTTTAGAACCAAATCAATCAAGAAATAAATCCGTCAATTAAATCAAAATAAAGATAAATACTTCGTAACAACACAAGTAAGGGAATAACTAATTATTTCTGTATTGTTTCAATGGTGTGCATTGTGAACAGCTGAAATGAAATACTAGGCCGAAACTGTTATTGTACTTATCTCCAGTCGAGTTAACATTTTTATTAGCTCGCTCCTATTCAATATCATTAAATGTATTGCAATTTAATATTGACGAAGAAGTGAAATTAAGCATACATTTTGCATAAGATATGTTTCAAGGAATTGCCAATAGTATGATCTTCCTCATACAATATCACCGTCAAATTTGAGGGATCGGACCGAAGCGAATCCGCATCCAACTGGAAAAGATTTGGTAAGAAAAATCAGAAATTTCAAAAATTTTTAAATATAACATTAAGTTACTGGAAAATTTTCAAAATCACTTCAAAACAGAAATCTGGTAAAAGCGAATTACCTTCAAGAAATAGAGATGGAAATCTCTTCAATAACGCTACGAAGTTAAAAGATATCCATTTTTTGGATAAAAATTAGATGGAAACAATCAATTATTATGCAAATACAATATTTAGCTTATCACTTGAAAGAGATCGATTATCACACTCAGCACTCAGCACTCAGCACTCAGCACCTAATTACTGCTATCTTATCTGAAGATAAAACAAATTAACAAACAATTTCCACTTTCCGTTCCGGATCCAGTAGATCTGCCATCACTGAACCGCTGATCTCAGGAAACCAACACCCGTTGACCAACAGGACTCTTCAAATTTGAAATTAAACGGTAATCTCGCTGTATTACGGACCACATGTGTCTTATTCATGTCTGGCGGGTTCAGAATGAAAATGAATTGATTTTTTTCTCAAGGCTTTGTGTAGCGCCACTTTTAACTCCTTTTTTATCTTCTATAAATCCTCTCTGGAACAAAGAGCTCTTTCCGTTTTATGAGCACATATTTCGCACAATTATCCCTCGAGCCATACGCTGTTTCTTTACAGCAAAGGAGGTGCCCATTTCTTAAATTATTTGATATTTTTAAATCCTTTATTATTACCTCTTTTTCTTCAACAATTCCTTGCGCGGGCTTTTTCATTTCTGCTCTCCAATACCTTTCTTCTGTGTACACTCCTTTTCTTTTTTCTCGTTTCCTTGTATCCTTTATAAAAGCAACTCTACAAGCATCCTGTTCATGGGTGTAGCCCTACCACATTTTTAGCGGTTATTTTTTCCCTTCATGAACGAGGAGAGGAGCCTTTTGATTGCAATAGAAATTTTAACGAAATACTATGTAATCGCTACTATTAATCTTATTAATTAGCTACCGCTTGTTTGTGTAGGTCTTATGACTTTCTAGTGCATCGCACACAATTCCCGTTTTACGTCATATATCTTCAAAGCACCGTGTCACATATTCGAAGATCATGTGTCTCGTCACATATCATCTGGGTAGTAAATTACTGTCAGACTAAATTTCGTAATTATTTGTGTTTCAGATAACTGAATTTCGTAAAAGTCATCCATTCTCATGTCATTCATTTTCTGTTGTCCGTTTCGTCGTATTTATATTGTAAATTTTCACTCTCCCGATTCCACATTTGGCATAAGTTTCCAATGACATTCCGAAGGCAAAATGGATACAGATACCCGAATACATCATGGAAAGGCTGTCAACTACATGGGCATGCTTTTGAGACCAAATCTTTGCTGACCTATCCAACTAGTGGATTGAAAGACAGTTTCAGTCAACACATTTGTTACTCTTTACTACTCAGAAGATAATGATCCTTTAGAAATCGTGAGTGATTCCTTCAGAAACTGTACATTAACAGAATAATTTAAGTGGCATAGCATGAGCACTTCATGCAGTAACACGATATTACGTCAGTATTATGGTTCTAAAAAATTTCTTCGGACTTTTCTATTTCTCACCATTTCCCGATCACTGTGTGTCATATTCAGCGCGCATAAAACTCTGTTTTCTGTGTGACCAGAACGTCCAAGTACTAACACGACATGTGCTCCTCACGTGATCTTAAATAAGGATGAGATCGGAAATTTTAAAGTTCATACTTTTTCTGTTGTGGGTACTTGCTCTATGAAAATTCTTTCTGCAAGAATGCAATGCAAAACCGTTTTTCTTTTAATTTCGCTTTTGTTTTCCTGCTTCAAAAGCCGGTGAATGTGAGAAGGCTGCGCACTGTTATACTTATAAACAAAGGGATCATCCTGAATAGTCGTGCTGAGTTTAATCTCTTAAAGATACTGAATCTGGGTTAACCTCATTGAAGTATGAGTGCAAACAATGTTTTCTTGGCTCCAGGGAGTTGTCCACATTGTAGTTCATCCAGCTGACCGTGAGGAATGGATTTACAAGCATCCGCCTTTTATCGCCGTAGATGAAATGTGATGGTTTCTAGTCAGTAGACATGTCTGTTCATGGCAAGAAGAATGCAAATTGCAATGCATTAGCTCGAAAACGAAGAAGTAAATTTATGCTTGTTTCAAAATTCAAATTTTACCTAATCTTAAAAAAGCTGCTGGAAATTTTGATTCGGAAAATAATGGGAAGATAAGAAAAAAATGAAGTCTGAAACGATTTTCGAAAAATTTAATTTGATGCATAAGGTATACTCTAAAGTTGAGATGCATGGAAAGAGCGTTTTGCGATCAAGTAATGACTGGGGATTGTTGCTGGCCTGATTTTTGGTAATTGTCGGCACAAAAAAGGAAAATGGAAGGGAGATGCCGATCGTCGGTGGTAATAACAATGGTGACGTGTAAGGTGTGTGTTCAAATCGATGCGACTCAAGCGAGCTCGTTGCTGTGCATCGCAAATGACATTTCCACTTTGAAAATCTCCCGCGACGCAGACATCCTCGCAATGATGTGACAAAAAGAAAGACGAGTCTATCAGTTGTGCACTGTATTGTTGGATGTCGCTTGTTGTCAACCTTTCTGTCTTATTCTTTGTTATTTCACACCTCTCTCTTCATAAGGGGACACGACACCTACGCAGTTATTGCTAATTGAAACTGTAAAAAATGGCAACAATTTCCCGCAAGGAGAGATTTTACAGTAGCATTGGAATGCTTCTTCATGTGCTCTTTGTGGCTGGTCCTTTGGATTTTTGGTATTGGATTCGATCCAGTCTGAAGTCCGTGAATGGTCGCACTGTTGTTATTACGGGTGGTGCGTCTGGTATTGGTAAACGATTAGCTGAATTATTCGCCATACGTTTGGGTGCCAAAGTTGCTATTTTGGATATCAACCAAGTAAGTTTTCATTTCATAGACCCTTGAAAAAGCAACAAGAACGGATATCGCTCTTATAACTATCATTCGTGATTCATAACTGTATCTTAAATTAAAATGGCAACTGGACATGTATCGCGAACAAGTTCGTTTTCCAAATTTTTTATTGACAGAGAGTAATCACTTTGCCATATATTACTATGAAAGAAATGGAGGTAACAGTAGATAGAACCATGGCTTTGTTGCCACATACTCCTTTCATATCTTTTATTGATTTTAACATTTTCGAGAGCCGAAAAAATTCCTAGCAGGCTTGCTTCTTCTCACTTTGCGCCCATTTATACCGGACATAATGTGCTCTTTGAGGCTGAAATTGAGCTGTTCCTTTCGTTTTCATCGACATTTCCTATCAATTATCAGCTAAACAAGAGACTGTATTGAATAACACCCACCAATCAGTTAGTGGACATTAGTTACACATAGAAATATTATCAGTTCGCACCTTCAACTTCCCCTCTTATCAACGATGAATTACGCCTTTCATAAATCCCTTAGTTGAGCTAAGATTACTGATGAAAATTGCGAAAAAGTGATTGTAGCATGGTGCGCAGGAGACAATGGACAACATTGTTCAGAATGGTGGCATTGCGCAGTGTTGGAAATGTGACATAAGTCAGGTAGAAGAGGTGAATGAATGCGCCCAACAAATTACTGTCGCATTTGGTATGATCGTACTTCATTTGTTATTTCTGATTTCTTCGTTTTCGTACTGGCACTTTCGGTGTTCCTTTTATTTTAATTAAAGGAATACGGAACCGTTGTGCATACGGATAGGAAAACAGTGACAGTAACTGAAGAGGAATTTTAACAAAGATTTATTTCAGGAAATGTTGATATTGTAATTTGTAATGCAGCTGTTCTATATATCGGAGGGATGTTGGATTTGACGACATCTCAACTCCAAAAATCGCTCGACGTCAATGTAATGGGAACGATCAACGTTTGTTTTTTGCTTATACACTTTGGGAATTCGGTTTCCCTTTCAAGGAAAAGTCTGCTTGTTTGAGCAAAATTACTTTTGACTTGAGAAGACATGAGTAGCAATTCAACTCCGTACCCAAATTAATTAATTTAAAGAAAAGTTATAATAAACATAGATTCCACTGATGTAGCAAGAACAATAAATAGTTACAATAACATTGAACACTTGATCAACTAGCAAGAAACAGGTTCCATTGAGTGCTCGAACAATTCTGATATTTAGTAGTCCATTTCTGGCTTCACTTGTATATTGTTAACGTCAACTAAATAAATAGTAAAATGAATTAGAAGCCACAAATCTTGTTAATTGTTAGTTTGATTTTTAAATTTGTGCTAATTACTCATTCTAAGACAAAAACACTCAGGGAATGAAGAAAATGAAATCTGATAACTGATTTTATCCTTCTACTGGTTAGTACCAAGTGCGCCTTTGCAGACAATTCGGGCATTTCTTCGCTCGATGGAACAACGAAATGAAGGACAGATAGTTGCAGTTTCGTCAATTGCTGGTTTCTGCGGTGAAACGAACGGTATTGCGTATTGGTTAGTGGTTGTGTACTTTGAGAAATGCGGAATTAATATTGCGAGGAAGTGACGCATGAGGTGCTACTCCAATTTTTAGATATTGGTGTAGCGCTTCACGCGTCACTTTTTACATAGAACTTTCAAATGGTTAAATTGTTTGTTCGATCAAATCACATTTATTGATCATATTACAATTCAGAAAGCGGCTATTCATCCACACCAGCATGCACACGCTTGGGTGTCTTTCCGGAAGGAAACTGGTTTTGCTAACAGTGAAGTGATCTATCTCACTGAATGTACCGGTTGTTCCAGTTATAACTGCGAGAAATTGTCAACTTACAAGGATTAAATTCCTCACATTGTCTTACATTGCTTCATTCCGTTTGCAGCAGTACGAAATTTGCCATTAGAGGTGTAATGCAGTGCCTGGAAATGGAAATGAAGGACAGAGGTCTGAACGGTATACGATGCACAACAGTGTGTCCATACTTCACACGAACACCGATGATTCTGAATTTGCGAATGAGGCCCACATCCATGTAAGCTTATTCTTCCTCACATTCAGAATACCTAACTGGATAGTTGAAGGGTAACGACCACTCATTTCTTTTAAAGATCAGAGAATAACAGTGATGATATATTGCAGATGGTTGCCATTCATGTCGGTTGATCGCTGCGCATGCGAAATTGCAGATGCGATCCTGAGAGAGAAGAACATCGCATTCGTCCCATATTATGTTAGCATCATTGCACAGTTGAAAGGGTAAATAATGTTCGAATAGTCAAATAAATGTTTTCGTTTTAAAGGATGAATTCTTTTTGTTGAGTTGTTAGTAAACTTCGTAATGACTGCCTATCCTTGATACGCTCCAACCACAGCTAAAAATGGAAAATGAAAAAAACAAGGGATCCATCGAATATTGATTGTTTATCTTCTTTCCGGCAAACGTGATCAATCAATGAGTGGTTATAAGTGCGCAATAGAGACATAGCCTTTCAGCTTATAGCGATTGTCCAAGTCATTTTTGGAATGAATGACTTATTCCAATTTATCTGTACGTACACTATGCATCCCACTCCTTCAAATCAACAAGTCAAGTCATGCCTTTCAGGTTACTACCGGAACGTGTGGAAAATGCTTGTCGAGAGTATCTAAATTGTCGCTATGAACCGCTGAAAGACGAAGAAATGGAAAGGAAAGAGATAACAATTGCTAAGAAAACGGATTACTTTAAAGAGCTCGACGCTGGCAAAAAATATGCACTGCTTACTGCTTATCTCGTATTAATGGTAATTTTTTTCATTCTTACCTTTGTTCTGAATTCGGTAGGGGGCATGAGTGGTTAAAGTGAAATTTACACATATATTTCTTCTCATTTTTATTCTCAATTGACCTATTTAAAGAAATGACCAACAAATTGATCAATGAATAAAATAAATAGGAGATCACAGTTCGCACTTTCCTCGACATATTCCGAGGTTGATACAAATTTTTCAGTTTTGGTTTCTTTTTCCCTTCACTCTGTTTGTTAATTTTAGGCCAGTTTTCTGCTGATGGAGGGTGCCTTACAAAACGTGCTACAAGCACTGCTACTCCTCATCACTTCATCGAATCTCGTGCTGGCAATTTATGCATTGCATGTTTGCGATCAATTGCAGTTCTCATTTCCTTGTAAATTTCGATGGTTCATGCAAACTTTCTGTTTCGGTTCTGTTTCTTTTTTGCAACTTTGTCGTTTTCGGTATCTCTCCGGTAAGAAGGATTATGTTGGGTGAAGTGACTTCTGATGGCTGGCTGTTCTAATTGCTTTCTACTTCTTATAAATTAAAATATTTTTGGAGAAGTAGTTTAAATCTATAGACTAAATTAGGAATTGAATTTCTGATAAAAATTATCTCAAATTATAATGAATTTACTTCCGTAGAAAGGAGAGGATTCATTAATTAGGTTAGAGAGTTAAATGCTGTCCTTTAGAATGTTCATAATAATAGCAATAACAGAAATGAGTTAAAAGAATGGCTTGATTCTGTTCATCTGAAAGGATTCTTCATTATCTAATCGATCATCTCCGTTTGTTGTGCACGTTTATTCCTGGTACTCTTCGGCTCTCAACTACTGCTTGGTGGAGAAATATACTTTGGGCGGTAGTAATAATCGTAACCTCTAAAAAACAAATGCATTCTGCGGTGCTTTTCTCCATGAGCCATTCATTCCTTGTTGTCGCTAATACAAAACATTACAGTAAAAAACTTGTTATAGCATTTGTTGCCATTGATTAGCTGCAGTCAGACAACCTTCTGCTTCTTATTGTTACCTAAGCATAAGAGAAGTGCTGATCGTCCGTATTGGGAAGAAATTCTGGAAACTTCTCTCATCGTCATGTACTCCGTTAAGCCCAAGCAAGAGCTAGAAAGGAAAAGTGGTAAAGCATATATTTATTCACACACATTCTAATCAGCGGGGGTCATCGCAGGGCAAGAAAATAAAGGAAGGTCATTCTCCACATATTCCTTTTTTTAGGTTTGTATCTCACCGGTGACAATTAGTGTTATTTTCAGTCACTGCTAACATCATTTGATAAAGTTAGGCCTTTCTTATTGAGTATGAATACCTCTAATTATTTATAGATCCTTTCAAAAAAAGATTTTTTTAAATGTCTGATTATGTAGTGCCGTGGCTTCGATAACACAGTTCTTGAATTTCAAATTTCGACAAGCAATGGATAATTTCTTCAGGTCACCCCACCTGATCTGGTGGCTTCTTGTACCAATTGCTCTATTAATCAATTTTGTGAGTTTTTTTGATCAGTTCCCTGAGATTTCTATTACAATTGACGAGAATCTTTTTTTTTTCGGAGTAGGGTCAGCTCTTTTCAGCTTTAAATGATTATCTTACATTTTAGGACTGAATTTTGCCATTACTATCTTTTTTGTGCTTGTTGATCGACTGCTGAAGAAAGGTGGAGGAAATTCGTCCCTTTCTACTGAATACAGTCGCTAGATATTTGAAAAGCGATAATAATGAGAAAGTTGAAAAATGCTTAAAAAGCACTAGTCGAAAAGAGCTATTTTGTTGACTCCATTTTCAAATAGTTGACACTTTTGTAATTATCTCCATAAAATCTTTTATTTCAAAGGCAGTGTGAATAATGCATAAGAAGATATTTCCGAAATTTTCATGTGAACATCTGTGCTGCACCGGATTTTAGGTCATCACGCCGTTAAAGTAAATCTCTTTAGATGACGTGGTACGATCCACATTGGTTTGTTCAATTCGGTATACTGGGGGAATTTCTGGAACTTTTGGGCGCACATTTTCCTTCATTCTTCAAAGCAACCAATGTGTTCGCACTGATAGTGCATTTCGGGGAATCATTATATTCTCTGAAATTGTGCGATCTGCTGCACATATCACGAAATAACACGCTGAAATGGATGTTGCAAACGTTTATTCTTGGCTATCCATCACTACGAATACTCCTCAATCGGAATATAGCGTATCGGAATCAGTGATAATTACTGATAATTGTGATTTATAGAAATGTCTCCTAAAAACTATATCTTTTTCTTCAGGGTGGATTACACGAAATAATTAATGTCGAGCAAAATAGTTTATAGATTGGCCGATTCATTAAAATTGATATAATTGTAAGATTCCGAAGAGCTCATTGATGTAGAATAAGAAAAGAAGACATATCAAAACGCGATTTCTGTTGATGATCAGTTGACCTTTTGTCGAATTTGTTCATCTTTCCTGTCTGCTTGAAAGTGGAACGGCTGTAGGATGATAAAGAGATCAGCTCTAATAGTTTCACTCAACCCATCATTGTGAATTTCTCTATTTCGTAATCGATCGTTAAAACTCTCATCCCTTTCGGAAAATCTTTTGAACCACAGCTTCATTCTACATTTGTAAGCAGTTCCTGGTTCAACTACAATATTGGTGTTGCAAGTTTTCTGCACTGTTTTTTTAGTTGAAGAAACATGAAATACCAGACCGTCAATTAAAGCAAAAAAAGAAATAAACATAAACTGTATACAATATAGTCATATTTCTTTTTAAAAATGGATCTTGCGCCAGCCCACTAAAATTTCTGTTTGAAAATAATGCGACTGTTCCTTAATCTTTTAGCAGATTACTTCGCTTTCAATAAAAAAATTAGTCTGTTTGCACAAGTTTTTCTATGCGATACCTTTAAGGTGTTTGGTAGAATCTATGGATTTTGACACGTTCATGTTCTGATTCTATTCATTAATTGCGAGAAACTGAAAAAAACAGCAGTAGTTTGATTGCGTTAAGATACTTGAGAATGATATTTAACCAAGTTCTTCCCTTCGGTTTACTTTTTGGTGCGTTCTTTGTGGCCCTTAAATCTTTTGTGGACCATTGGCTATTTGTTGTTAAGTTCGGAACTTTTTGATAATAACTAGCTATGATGAAATTTCTTCCTTTCCAATGAACTCAACCGATTTCTGCAAGGAAATAGAATTTTTACGCCAATTAATCCAGGACATCAGTGACTACGGTGCTCAACTCTACACAGTGCTAATCGATCATTTCTTCATCTTTCATTTCAGCCTTACATTTTCTATCTCATTGTAATAAATAAGAATTACAGTGTGGTTAAGTAACTCAAAAACCAAGGACATCATACTCTCTCGAAAGTTGCCACTTGTCGCACCCAGTCTCAGTTATACTGCCATTTCGAAATGTGAAGCAAACAAACAATCTCGTTGACCGGACAAAATAAGCACAGAATAAATGTTCTAAAAGTTCATCCAATTTCTCAGGTTGAATTTTCACATGAAGGTACAGGCTTTAAGGTCAAAACAAATATTGAAGATCTAAAAAATGTTTCATTCTCGACATTTTAGAAAAAAACTTCCATGGATTCGTTAAATCAATTCCGAGCAATCTGAAAAGATCTACAGCTGAGCTCCCAATCTAAATTAAATTTGCAGCTTGAATCAGAACTAAGACAATTGTGCAGATTTCATAGGGATCTCAAGCAAATATACAGATTTTTCAGGAGCAAAGCTGTACTAGAATTTTCAAATTGTGTTACAGTTAGCTCCTCGGCCACTGTATTAGTAACTATTAAGACATTCTGCACTGAAGTGAAATAAGAAAATGAATGGTTGTTTTTTCAATATTATACTTTCCTTCAGCTCTTTTGATTTCTGAATTTTCCATGTTAAAAATATATGGATATCTATCTCAAATTGGCTTTCATTGGAATCAAAACGTATTCTCAAAATATTCAATTTGAGTATTACCATGAATAACAATGGTTTGTATCCAACAATTCTACTGTAAATGAGAATAGCTGATATGCACACATTTGCGTGCATTAGTATGCATACATCTAACTCTTTACAATCATTTATTTCGCAGAAACTTTTTTAAAAAACAAATTACTTCCTGTCAATCAAACAACAGGAAGTAATTCTGTACTTGGTTAATCAGGACAAACTTTCCAAACATTTCTTCTTTCTCATCTTTATCGAAATTGAATCTCCGCACCAAGATAATCTTGAAACAGAAAAAGAGTTTCGAGGGAAACTGCCGAAAGATAACCATAGCTACATCAATTCCGTAACATTAACAGTCAGTCAAAGGAAAATTTTCGTCCTGAAAACTTATCCCCTAAGAACTACATTCAACTCAGATTTTTAAAAATGAATTCATCTTCGAAAGATCATAGTTCACTTTCATCATAAAGCTTTTATCACATTCACAGTGTTAAAAAAAAGAACTCTCACAGTAATTGTTGAAATGAAGGTCTTAACTGTATTCCTACCTGATCAACTATTTATGGATAACAGTTGTACAGTTTGGTCTCATTGTCAGAATAACAATAACAATCATAATAAGTAAAAGGAATAGCAAATATGAGTTCAAATAATGATAGTGAATTCAGAACAGATACTATAGTTACAACTGAAACTATGATAAACTTGATCGGATGGTAACGAATTAGATAAATAAGAGTATATGACATGTTGTTTGTTGAACTGACTTGCTGGAGTACTCCTCATTTCTACTTGCTTCCGGATGATGAAATTGAATGATCGCAAGTAATGTTTCTCGATGTTTTCCAAAGCATCTTTTTCTTTCAAAAGATTCGATGGAAAGAATTTCGCAAATGAAGCAAAACCTATTCCTGACTGTCACATATTCTATATCTGCACAGTCGTTATAACGATTATGGCGCGGGGGACAGGGGAGATGTTCACTGCAACAAATCGGCCAGCGTGTTACCTTTAAAATGAGTGGACATATTTTTCGGAAACATTTTCTAAAACAAATTAAATATTATAGCATCTGAACTAATCATCTTCTAGCAACAAAAAAATTATGGAGAGAGCATTAGTTCGGGGTAGTAGCATCACCGCCAGCAAAATCCTGACTGATATATGGATCCAGGAAATACCACTGCTACTACTACCATTCTGCTGGGTAGCACACACTTGACCCTTCTTTCCCGACCTGTGGTACGTTAATGTATTTGTAGGATACCATCGAACTTCTCAGATTAGTACATTACCAGATAACATCCTTCATTCCTGGTTCATTGCTCAATTCTTAGATCAGTACCCAATTTTTGGTCTAATATCTAACAAAACAGTATAATCCCCAAATTCCACAACAAATATCCGGCAAAGCAACTCGGTGTTAAGCACGCAATGTATAAAGCTAGAGAATCCGAAACCTTGAATGATGAAATACACGAACGTGATACACGACTGTAGAATCCTACGCTTAGCAGTCACGTCACTTCGGGTTTAGCAAAGTATAACAGGTCAATGTTCAGGTTGCTATTGCCTTTTATACGAGGTTGTTCCCGGGTTAGTTCCGTATAACTGGTCGATCGGGTTCAGGGAATCTCGGAACCTCTGTCTTAGGGAATTCGTAAGTAAAGTATGCCGATTAGACACGCATAACACTGTTGTACACAGTTGAGTACTTACGGCATTCTGCAGATATCAACCACCCACTCACATTGGTTAGATTTTCTTAAACATAACATTCTTTCCTGAATATTGGAATATTAATTTTTCGGGAGATGAATCACAACAGCGATAGTGATCCATACAAGGAAGTGATCCGAGGTGGTTTGAAATTGAAGAAGGGCAAGTCCAAATTCAGGAAAAAAGTAAGTTTTGTTTTAAAAAATCCATGACATGGAAGTGATATTTTCGGTGCATACCTGAATTAGAATACTCTTTTAAAAAATACTCTCTCAGGATGTACTCTTGCAAAATGATACTCTCTCAGGATGTACTCTTGCAAAATGGTTGTCTTTTAATTGGTTGTTGTTGTTAATTGAAATTGATATTGGTGAAATGGTATTGAAGCAGCCTGGAGGTGCTGTTACTTTTCACAAAACAGTATTGTAGAAAGGCTTGTTGCATGAACTGCCCTTTAATATTCAGTTTAAATGATTTATATTATTCGTGAAGCTTTGTGCAGGAATGAAATTTTTGGACGGAATAGCATTCCCAAAATACGAAATGTAAAAGAGGATAAATATGGTCATTTTCCGAATTTATTCATTTTGTTCTATAGATTCAAGAAAAGAAGAAAAATGATAAATACACCTTCAATTATCATATTTTTCAGAAGAAAGAAAGTGTTGACTTAAAGAGTATTGATATAACCATCCACAAAGATGCCGATGCAGCAGTTACATATAAGACACCAGCAGAGATAGCATTTGAGAAGCGACAGTTGCAAAATCAGGCGAGGATTGTATTTTCTTGATTTTCTCACTCTATGCTGACCATGTTCTTTATCATACAGTTATAATATCTACGCCAGAATGGTTTGAGATTAGGAGTGATTGCATTTTCCACGTGGAACTTTTAAATGTCGTACATCCGACGTCATTGTTGCTTAACATAGTATACATTACAAAACTGTTTTATAGCAGATTTGCAGTCTGTGAACCATTTCATAAATTATTTGTAATTCTTTAACCCTCTGCTAATAATTGTAAACGCTTTGGAAAATATGTGTGTATACTTTTTCAGTTTGAACGGTTGGCGAAGAAAGCAGCTGTAAGTCATCGTGAAAAAGTTGAAAAGTTCAATCAACAGATGAGTGAACTAACCGAATTCAATGATATACCAAAAGTTTCATGGACAAAGTGATCGCAGGTTGTGTGACAAAGTTATAGAACAAATTTTAAAATATTGCTTTCAATGTTTCTTAATTTACTGTGTCTTTTAGGTTTTTCATCAAATATAATGCCAAATCATCGACTCTTTGTTAGTGTATAATTGTAATTTGCAAGCGTTTTGTGTAGTTATATACAACATGACTCTTCTCTATGACTCTTCATGACGTTTTCAATCCATTCATTATTTACAGTGGTGATATTTTTTGAGTGAATATCGTTTTCCTTCTTGTACAGGTTTTTTTTGTATTTGATATCGTTTTGACTTCTCTGAATTAGTAAATGAATTGAAAGATGTAAACTTTGTACACGAATCATAATTGGAAATCCATGATAACTGCTTAAAATTATTCAAAATCGTTGGAATGCAAAATCATAATTCCAAGGCTTATTTTTCATCTATCTAATTATTTAGTGTATAAATTCTTAAAACAACTATACATGATTAGCATTGGATTCTTTTCCTCCATTTATTAGAATAAATGTGATCGAATATGTAGAACATCTCTCAATAGGTCCTTTAGTTTGGTTAGTTTATTAGTTTATATTTATTTGGTTAGTTAATATTTTTTTCAACCTTTCATCATTACGACAATACATATTTGAATTGTATGTTCTGATATATGGGTATAAGAGATGTCTCTCTTAAGCTGAAGAAAAAAAGATTTCCAGATAATTCCTTTGAGGTAGATGTTGAAGCGAAATGAACCGGCCATCCAAAAGTGTTGAAGTGATTACCGAAGGAAACGAAAATGTGCCATCAACTTCTTGTGTTCTAAAGGACAAATTTGTTCCATCCTATACATATAGCAGTTGGAAAAGGTATTGCATTGAACCGATTCATCTGTTTTAACAGAAGCTCAAATTTAAGTTAACATATCCAATTCCAATGTATGGCGATTATTATGATAACTAGAGTGAAACACTAAGGGACTGTAATGAAATAACATTCTTTTTGCAGGTTACGTGATGTTTGTCGTACATTACAAGAAACGCAAGAAATAGCTTTGCTCCAACGAGAGAAATTAGATATATTGCTGGCAAATGAAAAGGAATACCGTGATCTGGTTAGAATTTCTTATTTCGACAAATCGGATGCCAAGTTTTGCTCTATCACGAATGCGTATCTTTAAAATGTTATTTAAGGCCGAGCGAGTACAGTGCGAACAAGTTGAACTGCAAGCATTACGAGATTATGTGGAGAGACAGAAGTGTCGTATAATGACTTGTCGCATGAAATTGATTCATTTTAATGACGAGAAGTTTCAGAAAGGTATCTAATTTTTGATAAGATTAACTGAAACAGTCGTATGATAATCGTAATAAAGAGGTGAACAATGTTTCTAAAAAATTAAATTTCATATTGACATGATTACAGTCACTCAATATAACGAACAAGCATATTGCAAATCCAGGATCACGTTTTTTGAACTGTAGTTTTTTAATGGCTAGTTCATTTATCTTCAGTTAATAACTTTTCGCAGTTTTGCTGCTAAATTTTAATAGTTTTTAATGACTATTAGTTAACTGTTTCGATACATATGCCTTTTGATTATTCGTATTGACAGAAACAACAAACCTCAAGTTGCACTAACCTTAAGCAGTATGCTTTTTCAGATATGATGACTAGTAAACGATCAAACGAAGTTATAAAAATGCAAGAAGATTTGCTAAAACGGAAAGCTGCACTTTCTTTGGCAAAGTATGATTCTTGTAAATCGTTTTCATGAATGAAAATGCCAATTCTAGGTAAGAAGTCTGAAGTAGCTTGATATGATCCTTGACAAGTCTCTTTCATTAATTTAATGAAATATGCTTAATGTAAAAGGAATTAGTTGCTTATTTCAATAATTTGGGCAGAATATTTGATGCATTGAAAAGCTTATATCATCCATAACTTAGATCTGATATTTCAAAGCTTTTGCAAAATCATTTAATATTATTTATTAGAGATAATTTGCTTTTGATCGCTTCACATTTGGCATGGCGTCGAAGGAAAATGGTGGACGATTTGATGCATATTTATATTATCAATTTAAATACACCACCAGAAGCACGTTTGATGCCTTCATCATGTACTTGTCATTCGATAGCCTGTATTGCTGGCCTTCATCTTCCGGATGCTTTATCTTTTCCTGGTTAATTTTTTGACTTCATGTTGGAGATACGCTGATAATTTTGCTAGGAAAAATTTAGTATAAGTTAATTTAGTTGTTGGAAATTTACTGAGATATTGAATGATTGCAATCATTATAGCTTCTAATTTCCAGGACATTCCGAAGTAGAAATAAGTGCTGCTATAGGATATGTTATTCAAGCCTTGTCTTTACTTTCTCGGATATACAATTTCCCTTACCAATACAGTATGCTTTTCTTCGGCTCAAAATCAACAATAAAGGATCCAATACTTGAAGAGACGTAGGTGTTTGTATTAATTCTTCAGTTGATGATTAATAGTTATTTCGAAGTTTTCCAAGCCACTTGATGTTAAGCTTTCCTCCAGTTTTGAAAATCATGACTTTTCTATCTGTGTGTATTTTGTTTTCACATATTTTCTTACGGAAAAAGCTTAAGAACGAAGATCCCATCACAGTTAATTGAAAATGTTTATATATTTAGATATCCTCTATATGGTATAACACGGAATCGTGAAAAATTTGAGGAAGGCGTATTGCTATTAAACAAAAATATATCACAACTTCGGTGGTCGTTTGGTATAACGACGAAAAAAGTGGGAAGAACTTTATCGAATCTACAAGATTTATTGCTACATATTGTTGGCAAAAGGTAATTTAAAAAAAAAAAACTCATTATTATGTCATTAACATAACTGATTCGAAAAGAATCTGGATGAAGAAAGGGATAATTGTATTAGGCTGCTTTCGCTATTAAGAATTAAGATGTTGTGGAAGCGAAATGGAATGTCCATGTTATAAAATTTTGGAAAATAACTTAGATTACACATAACGCAAAACTATTTGACGAGTGTTAGAGGTAGCAAGTGTTGGTGATTATTCAAATTTCAGATGTGACAATTTCTTGGATTCAGCCTTTCAAAGACCATCAGTTAGCTATAGGAGTGTTGGAAATGTAGATATAAATTCGCATAAATGTACAAAGCGAAGCAGTGAGTTCAATGAAGAAAAAACCATTGAAAATGGATCCTCCAAGCCTTTGCAGGTGCTAAATTTGCATCATAAACAGTAGTTGTTTTTTTATTGTGTATAAGACTGTTCACAACATTTAAATGATAGGTTTGAAGTTGGAAAGGAAGGCAGAACTTCATACTGTGTGTTGTAAAACCTATGGAAAATAATTTGCAGGCAGGCAAATATTGCTTCAACGAAATGGACATTACTGTTTGATTCATTTGCTTCTGCTATGTTAATATTGGTTTCTCCACAAATAATGTGGACGATAGAATGGAAAAAAAAAACTTTCTGCGACTCTGAACAATAGTGGCATTACATTAAATTAATTTTTTGTAAGTCTTACAGCTAAAATTACTGAATCTATCTCAATTTTTACGGTAACGTATATCGGCTGTACAGGCTAAAAAGAGCATCTATAATTTTCCTGAAAAATGCTTGCGGTGCTATTCTTATTGGATTGGTGGTTATCTTGTGTACCAGTGACTTTTTCAATTTGCTTGAACCACTCAGAAGTAATCCAGTACTATAGATTCTTTCTCTGCATTGTGGTTAGTTTCTGATCATTACTTTAAAAGAATCAGTATGTTAAAAAAAGCAAAATTTAAGTTGCACTTTGGAATCTTGAACTTTTTTTTCCAGTCAGCACAGAAAACCTGGATCGATGCATAATATTCGTGATATTTATGTTGGTTCATCTGTAATGTGTTACATTCATTATACTTATATTAATTATAAATCCGTTCAGCACTGTGATATGTCGCATTAAAAATGCGACATACTTTTTAAACCTTTTTGCCATACTTTAAGCCATACTTTTTTAAAACCTCTTTCATGTTTACTTATGATAAGTAAATTAGCTCACTGAAGTATTCCCTACATTTGCATAATCAAATAAAAATATTTACTTTATGTTTTTAAAGTTACCTATAACGGTTGTTGAAACAAATAATTCAGGAGTGTGTTTAGGTGTGATAGAAAGCAGACACATCAAAAGCTCCAGTAATTTTATTAAAATTATTCTTCAGTTAGACCATGAGTTATTTTTCATGGCTACTAAAGTTATCGAAAAATGAATGAATGATTTGTGTTAATAAAACTTTCCTTCACCAGTCCGCATTAGTTCTATTATTCGAATTTCAAGATATTTTTATTTTACTTAATTACTTCTTCTTTTCAACTATGTTTGAAATAGAACTATTAATGATGTTGACATTTATTTTGATTTGATGAAAAAAACTAATCGATCTCCAAATGATTACAGAAAGATTATCATAACAAGATTCTTAATGAAAATTTCATGCAAAATTTTCTCTGCTTTATTATATTTTTAAAAATGTTATTTTTGACATAAAAATCTGTGTTCCTTATCTTTTCAATTTTTTTAAAATTTACTGATGTGATATATTTGTAATAGAAATGTTTTATGGATATGAACAATTGAATGTTGCAACAGAGAGATTAAGGTTTAACTTTTTGTAGATTTTTTACCTCCAAAGACTTTGCATCCAGTCTTGAAAAGTTTTTATCAGATAGAATGAACGTATAGGTGGATTGTTTTTTCCTTATTACATATATTAATTTCAGCAAACTTTTTCTTAAATTGTAATCCTCTACTTTGTCGTTAAATACATTTCCTCCTCTTTAATTTCATTAAAACTGCTCTCTTTTCGACGTTCCGTCATGCTCAGTTATATATTTGCCGCCGACGCATAGGCAGACATGTTTTGTCATGTTTATGTATATGTTGTGTGTGTGTGTGTATGTGTGTGCGTATGTGTGTGTGTGTGTGTGTGTGTGTNTGTGTGTGTGTGTGTGTGTGTGTGTATGTATATGTACATGTATATTTACGCCCTTGTATCTTATACATGATAGTAAAACTTGCGTTATGGCTTCCACTTTGATAGCATCATTGTCGTTTAAAGGTATAACCGTTTTTTTAATATATGAAATTAGATTTGATTTTCGTATATGATTGGATTTAAAATTTGAAAATTTGCCCTTGGACGTTTACTCGTTCAGCACTGTCGTAGCTTGGGATAAGCTTTGTCTACCTTAGGGCTTTAGCATAGGGAGCGATGCACCAAGAGAAGTGAAATAGTCGTAGAGATTGAGAATTATTTTTAAATTTGCAATATTTCCATATTCTATCCTGCTTTTTACTGAATTAAGTTGATTTGGGACATGGATTGCAGCGGGTGTACTATTGCCCAAAAAAAAATTTTTTTAATTTGTTTTTCGATCATTGTCGTATCGGTGGCGGTATAATTTAGCATCATTCATATGCAAAAACACGAAGTTGACACTGGTATCGCACAAACTAGTGGGGAGGAGGAGAAGGACAAGACGGAATCTGAAAGTGAAGAAACGTTGTTGGAGCCACGATTCAAATATTCTAGAATTTTGAATAATGTACCTGGAGTAAGTGTCGCATATTTCCTTTTTTAAGGGAAACAAAATATACTGAAGAAAACTAAAAAACTATATGATGAAAAAATCGTTTCTGGTAAATGACTGTTAAAAACTTCGGAGAAAATATGCAACAACCGAAGCAATTATTTATAAGAGTTGAAATTAAATGGGATCAAAGCTTATAAAAAATCTTACTCAGATTCCGGCAATAAAGTTTTTTATTATTGTCTTACCAGATATTGCGAAAGGATATGGCGACTTGCATGGCAATACATAATAAATTCGCAGCAGTGGGTAGTCGTTCCGGAAGCGTATACATCATTGATCATTTTGGAAGTTTACATCCAGAAAATGTTAGCTTTGGTTTTCGAGAGAGAAGGAAATGTACGATATAGATGAAAAAATATTATTAGCCGAATTTCAGTCTCAAAAATTCATAGATTTCTTTGCCAATTTGTTTTTTCACACACAAATATGTACTTTGAATCTCCTTAAACTGCATAGCAACTTGTATTTCTGTGTTATGGAAAAGTATTGTGAAATTTGCCCTTTTAAAGACAAATTTCGCAGATTTCGGGGCAAATACTAAACGAAATATAAGGGATTATTGTTTTTGCAGATATTTACAAGTTCAAGCTACTCTTCAATTTTTAACTTTTCAAAAAGCCGTTGTGGGCTAGTCATTGTAAAAAAGTCATTTGCGAATCAATTAGCAGATATATGTACATTTAGACAGCACGTCATCATAGATGTCCCGTTACAAAAATATCAATTGATCCGACGGGATCATACTTCGTCAGTTGTTCACAGGATGCTCGAATCAGTGTTGCGGGAATTACTTCCTTTGAACTTGCCCAGGTACTGTTTGATGAACGTTTTCTTTCTAGTTTTTTGCTTACAGTGCTAATACTTGAAATTTATTGAGATATTATTTATTTTAAGTACAACAGCAGTATTGTGCAGAATGGAGCCGGTGCATTGTTTATTTGAAAATGTTTCAAATCCCTGAGGTAGTGATAAAAACGGTACACGCTACCTTGTGCACTCATTTTTAAACAGAATGCATATACTATACTGTATTGCGGTTTGATCGAATTGTGAATAATTTTCCAATGTAACTCCGGATTAATTTTAATTTGATGTCATTCTTCACGATAAAAGATATTGGAAGAATCGTTAAAAATTCTTTTCTGAGAATGAAAGTGACTTTAGAAAGTCGCATAAGAGGAACCGTTTCTGCAACATTCTATTTGCTTTCTCATGATTAGCTGATTGAAACAATGCTGCAATCATTGGTAGTAGGGACAGATTACAAGAACGTAAAATAAGCAGACGATGCCGAATGCCATATGGAGTTGCGCTGTTGTTTTTTCATCAGTCACTTTCAATCTTCAGCAGCATGATTCAAATTTAAAATTATCATATCATACCATCATAGTTGCAGGTTATAGATTTAAAGTTAGCTGCACGATCGATAGCAATAGATCCGGATTTCACCAAACGTGGTTCAGGACATATGTTTATAACTGGAGAAAGGAATTTATTATTGCATCAGCGAACGTTTTTCGGCAATTACAAAGAAAAGGTCGCCATTTATATTATATATGCTTCGAATGTATTTTAATCTTCGTTCATGAAATAACTTCCTATTTTATACCCTTAGTTCATCTTACATGAGTTTTATTCCTTAATAACTGGTCTTCCCATTTAATCCTATATGTGTTGCAAAACACTGAAATGTGAAATAAGAGTAGGTATCTCAGGATATATCATTGAATAATCGTAACATAATCGTATTGTTGGTCAAATTATGCATTCCTACCAAAATTTCATAATTTTCTACATAGTCGGTCGTACAAATGAAAAATAACTGTTTCTTTGCTATTGATCATAAATGCATGCAAAAAATCTTACATCCCCTTTTTTCTTTTTATGTTTCATTCCCAGTTAAATGTAATTTAAAATGGCTCAGTTTTTGGTCCGTTCAGATATTATATGAAGGTATGGATTGTGATGGAATGATTACACAAATTTCGTGGCAAGATTGTTGCATTGCTTTTACGAATGAAACAGGAACTAGAATATTTGATAAGTAAGTATTAGTCGATTTCTAGTCTTACTTATTTTATTTAATTCATAGATGATAGTTTCCTAATTATCTTTACATGGTATCTGAAATATTTCAATCATTGATAGCAATTGATTCGTCAAAAAAAATCTCATTTTAATCTTTTCAATTACAATTTGTTCGTGGTGCTTTCATAACACTTCAATCAACCTACTCTTTTTTTAATAAGCTAAACATCTTGCTTTATTTCCGAAATGCAAACCAGTTAATTGCATTAGTTCAATCTACACATGAAAAACATTCAACACTTGCAATCAAAGCTCGCCCGTCTCACTGTTGGATCAACAATGGGACTCTGGCAATTGGATGGTACGATACTGTTTCCATATGTTTAATCGTTAGTTCGTTTGATTCACAGGTAATTTTCGACAAATTTTCTCAAGTTTTGAATAGGCTTTAACTGCAGCTGTTTTCATAAATTTTTGTTAAGGCACTTTCATCGACTGAAAGGAAACGAGTGGAAGTGCATTACGCTTGGAAATTCGATATGTATATAGCTGATATTTCATTCACGCTTA